AAAAAAAACAAAAAAACAACCTTTTATATATGATTATTTATATTTAAAGTCACGTCAAAAGTATTTTGTCTTACTCATGCCAATAATATATAACATTTGCAAACACATCAGATTTATTCATTACAATATTTTCTAATTAATTGCAAACAGATATAATAAATGACGATTTCTATTAAAAAAAAAAAAAAAAAATTGAAAAAAAAGGCGCATAGTCTGAAAAAATAAATTATATAATCTAGTTTCCGTCAGTTTGTAAAGCGGTCAAATGGTTCAGATTTAAAATAATCATACATTGTATTTAGGCATAATGTATTAGGTAGTCCGGAAATTTTTCGCGGCTTTTCGCTATGCAATAAAAGAATTTCTTATTTATATGAGGTTCAAAACTCAAGATTAGGTTTTGAGTTGATCAGCTTCAATCATAACCTTTAGTTGGTCGTCATCAATGGTATGCGACCTACCAGAAGGCGGTAAAGCTACGCGCGGCAAATTATTTCCAGAACGAAATTTCGCAAACCAATTTTAGCAAGTGTGTTCTGCTGCAGCATTAGTTCCATACGCAGCACATTGTCCTCATAGTTATGTATTTTTACAGCATTTTTACCTTTTTTGAAATAAAGCATCAGTTTCATTGCACATGTCCCACCCATATCTCAGCGCTCGACAACATCGACCTCTTTGAAGGTTTATTTACTTATTGTATTAAAAATATGAATTTAAAGGCGGGCGGATAACTTGGATCCTATGCAAGCCTATGTTGAAAGCTCTACCGTATTTGACATTTGAAAACGCGATCATTGAGTTATTACTCGCGGTTCCTTGCCTACTCATCCACTCACCCCTTTAAAAGTATGTTACAAAATAAACATAACTCTGACCTACATAACTGTATATACCTTTGATCCATATTACATATGGCTAGGTACCTGTATAAAGTTACTTTAACCTGGTGTCGGGAAAAAACGCACGAAATTTCCGGACTATCTAATAATAATAAATATGTATATATGCATGTATGTATTTGATTGTATTTGTGGAACGGGACACGTTTACAGATTTATATTTCTACGCATATTCTTATTATTATTATATATAAATATATATATATATATATATATATATGGAGGCTGCAGCTCATCGCAAAAAAAAAAATAAATAAATAAATAAATATATATTGAGGAGGCCAGACAGATTAACTCAACGCCCGAAGTTTTCACTAAGCGACTGTTATCTACGGTTATAAAAATTGAAATGTGTATGTGTACGTATGTCTCTACGCATGTGTATGTAAGTTTGTAAGTTAATTTATGGTTAAATGAAACAGTCACTCTTAGACTTTGCACTTAAATCGGACACTTTAGTAGAGCAGAAGGCACGCAAAGAAAAAAGAAGAAAGAAAACGTTATAAACCCAACTTTATTAATAAGACTGGCAGCAGACATCCAAAGTCCGTAGTAAACAGATATTTGAATGGAGCATAAATTTCTATTATCTCTCAAACATTACTTTACTTAAATAGAATAGCAATCTGCCAATAAAACTTGTATGAGATTAAATAAAAAAATAAAAATAAAAAAAAAAAATGAAAAACCAGAAGAATTCTCATAAGCAATTTGCGCTCTTTACGAAAAGTTTAACTTTTATCTATAACTTTTTTTATTCACGCACTTATATAGGTGTTCATATATGTTTATAGAAGATCAGCCGGAACCGCGATACCAACTTAGCGCAATTATTATTGTTATTATAACAGTATTTTAAGGAACACATGCATATAGGTACGTACGTGTGTGCACATTTTAAAGGGCCCCCTAGACCGTTATTCCCCCTTGCCTGTCAGCCTCAGTGTGATAAGGAAGAACCAAGCGTTATCTCTCAATTCGCATTCAATATTAAGACTAATGACGAATACCCCAACTGTTTAGTTGTTCAAAATACTTGCTTTCGTAAACATAACAGAAATTGTTTTATTAAATTCTTTCCACAAATATATATATATTAAAAATTCTTTAAATAAATATAATTTAAATTGGAATAAAAATGAATTGTAACGTAGAATATTGTAGTAAAGATTATTTTCAAAGCTATTTGCCGGTAACACCGCCAACCTACTATGATAATCATTGGCCGGAAGTGTTTTATGAGGCCGCATCCAGTCAACAAGATATACCGTTATATTGTTGTTTACAATATAGTGAACAAATGCAGCAACAACAATCAAGATTTCCCACACCACCCATAACACCGCCACGTACTTTAGCGGCTAATGAATTATTGGTAACACCGCAACAACAGCAGCAACAACAATTGCGCACACAATCGGTTATTATGAAAATCGGTCATAATCAAAGTCCACCACAACACATACCAGCGGAATTACCCTATAACGTTTGCTTATCGGAGGAGCTAACAAAAATTACAAGTCACGAAAACCCCAGCAGCGGTACATCATCACCGAGTCAAAGTAGCAATGATTTTGCATGCGATTGGCTAGATTGTGGAAGGTAATGGAAACGCTTCATTGTTTTCCTTTTTTTGTCTTTTCTAAAATGTGTACCTTTGCATAGATCCTTTGATAGCTTGGAATCTCTGGCTGGCCATGTCACACAAATTCATGCTGTGGCATCATTAAGCGATGGTCTGTATTATTGTCGCTGGCTAGGCTGTCAGAGAAGCGAACGCGGCTTTAATGCTCGCTACAAAATGTTAGTTCATGTGCGCACTCATACCAAAGAGAAACCGCATCAATGTCATTTATGTGAGAAGCGATTTTCGCGAGCCGAAAACCTTAAAATCCATATACGTTCACATTCGGGCGAGAAGCCGTACGTATGTGCACACGAGGGTTGTAGCAAAGCGTATTCGAATTCTTCTGATCGTTTCAAGCACACACGCACACATTCTATGGAAAAGCCTTATATGTGCAAAGTACCTGGTTGCCAGAAACGTTACACCGATCCTTCATCGTTACGTAAACATGTGAAAACATTTAGGCATTCGATACAAATAATGAAATCATCTATAGAAACATCAAAGTCCAAAGATTCTGATTATATTAAGCATCGAGAACATATGAAGCCGTCTGCATACAAGTCATTCATAGGAATGTCTTCGAATTCAATACGTCGCCCTTCGCATGCACAAGACTCCTTTTGCTTGGCCATGGAAGAAATGTGCCACATTAAAGGCAAAGACATTGACAGTTATTGGTTAAGAGATGAAGTTGATGGCCCTACGCAACTTTACTCCGATAGCTTTAGCAGTACACTGCACCAAGAAGTTGAATTATCAATGGAATTGGATTTAAGTGGTGAAAAACCTTTAGATTTAAGAATTAAACGAGCATAGCAATGATATGCAAGACGTGGGATTACCTTCTATTTTATCAATCTTCTAGTCCGAGACTTTAGTCTTTTGTCTTTAAGGAACAGAATAAAGAGACTGTTTATTTTTTCTCAACACTAAGCCTCTGTTATATAAAAATAAAAAAAAAAAGAGTAGATTTATTACTTACAATCAGATTCATAGTGTAACAACCGACAAGAGTAGTCACTCCTTTTTTTTTCTTCCAATCTTTATTAATCAACAGAATTTATGCCATTCTCATTTGTGAAGAACGTTCGATTATTCACCGGCATCTTTGGTAACTTCAGCTTTAGTTTTTAAATGACAGGATTCACCTGTAAAGCAGGTTAAATTATGCTCTTGACATAATTGCTGGTTTGGTTACCTATTTTTTATAATAGGTGGACATAGGTTGCAAATGTTGATGGCAATTCTCCCAATAAAATCTATCCAAACCATCTGTAGCCAATAGGCCGATATTACTGTTATTCCATATTAAACTTTCCAATTCGGTAAAGACAATTTCAAATTCTGATAAAGAGTAACAATTTAAGAGTGTAACCGACTCTAAAAATTGCAACTCGCAAAATCGATCACATCGAATTTGTGCGTTAAATCTATGAAAATAGTTCGCAATAGCTGCCTTCCGGCCAATTAGAAAGCACAGCACGAGCCATTAGTTGGAAAAGCACTACACTTTGGCCGCTTCCATTTACTCCCGAAATTTCTACAAGACTTTTTGATTGCAAGCCATTATCGAGAAATAGCTCATGCCTAAAAATTTGCCTTTGCAGAAGTAGAACGCAAGGTGGAGTATCATGGTGTCTTCTCCTCCAAAAACAAAATTAAAACTACCTTTCTAACTTTTGCTATCCAAAATTGAATTGAATATTGTTTATTTATACGAACGTGCGCGAAAACTACAGCATATAATCGCGATCTTCTTCTTGCAACTATTTTGCCAAGCATCGTGAAATGATAACTTTACTTTAAATGAACGTTTAAATTATACCAATTTAAAGGAATTTTTTATTAAAAATATCTAAGAAAAAAAAATTGTCATATTTTCAAATAAAATTTATATGATTAAGTAATTTTCATATATATATAGGTTTTTATTTTAGACTTAAAGGAATGTTAATTGTGTATTAATTAAATTAACGAATATTATCACTGTTGTACACCATTAACAAAACAAAAATAAATATATATTCTGCTATTTTCTTCCCCACAAGTAAATTTTCAAACGGTGACTAAAAAGTAACAGAGTTCAGACTAATTTTAATATATTATTAATAGTGAAACTTTAATAGATCCTACACTAAAAAATAAACAATCTTCAATATTTAAACTTTTTCAAAGAATAGCGCGTTTGCTGTTTTTTTTTTTTTTAAATAATTAGGCCCGGAAAAAACGTACAACACGTACAATGTATTGTCGACATATGGGGCATTCGCATAAAACTTTACCACAATTGGTGCAAGTAGCCATATGACCGCATTCCAAAATCACACATTCTATAGGAGCATCCATACATATTTTGCATAATTCATCGGAAGGTAGTTTCTCCACAGCTAGATTGGAAAAAAGAAGACGATAATTTTAATTTCTTACTTTCACAAATGAAAATAGACCTGGTGTAGCTTTTAGATCCTTCCAAAGTCGTTCAACACGTTCCAATAGCTCTTGCTTTTCACAACAACCTTTAAAGTCAACTCGATTAACCATTAAAATTTCCTTAAGTTGTTTGACACTTAAGCATTCCAATTCTTGTCTAAAAAACAAAAATGATTTATTTTTTCGTTTTTAAATGTAATTCATTTTCCTTTGCTCACATTGTTTGATAGGCTTCTAAGTTAGCAAAGCGAGTCATCTTTTCATTTATATCACTGCTCGTTGCGTATACATTTATACCTTCATCTTCGTTTAATTCGGCAAATCTTACTTCCCCCTCTACCTCTTGACGTGTTGTGTGCACAGCATTTTGTATTGAACTACCGCAAACACCGTTCTCCGAATCTGAATATTCTATTGATTTGGTACGTTGCTCTAAATAGGCCAAGAAATCTTGCAATTCTTGTTTAATATCACTTTCAGACATTTGTGAACTTTCTAAGTGTCGACGCATTTTCTCTACCTGTTGACGTATGTTTGCTTTATTTTTGCCGCAGCGTAGGCATGATTTAAGCGCTTTCGTTCTGTTTGATGCAGCTGTTGTTAGTTCACCGTCCACTCGAGGTTCATTTACTTGCTGCAATTCATCCTCATCTTCGCTTAAATTATTGGACCTTTGACGATTAATATAACTTTCAGAACGTCGCCGGGATGCTTTTTTGGTACGTAAAGGTATTTGCGGTTGTTTAGTTTCTAAATTTGCTTCTTTATTTACATTAACGGTATGCTCCCCCTCCACAGTTACCTTGTCATAAAATTAAGAAGAAGAAGAAGAGCAAAATTATTCATGTATTCACAGTTTTGAGATAGAGTTGTCTCTGTTAAAGTGGACTGGTTTTCCGTTAAAAGTTTCTGAAAGAAAATTAAGTAACAAGTGAGTAAGTTACCTGAGCTTGTATATGTAAGTCAAGTATTTGCCATTGGTCAGTGTTGTTGCTGTTGGTGTCTGTAGTAGTTTTACTATCATCCGTAATGCCGCCTATGGCACCCAGTTCTTCAAATGACGATTGCAGAGATTCATCTTCGTCCCGATCATTATTATCGTCTTGAACTGCAACCTCATCATGCTCCAGAGTTTCTAACTTTGAGCTTTGAGAGGTGAACTTACTGGAAACGCCACCCGTACTTGTGGAAGCTGTAACAAATTGATCTGCTTCATTGATGTTAGGTAAATGTGAAGCGTCTTCCACCGATCTAGAACGTTCATTAAAGGTATTTATTAGTTCATCATCCGAGCAGTCGCATTCGTCTTTGTGATTAACACACTGTGGTAGATTAACGCTTAATTGGGTCATTGCCTCCAAAGAATGCGTACCGCTATTATTATTATTCAAGTTGTCATCTAATATACCAGCACTGCTCAAGTTTTGATTATGACTAAGTATAGATCGATTATCATCATTTATGGCCGGGAGACGACTCTGACTGGCGGCGTAAGTAGGCAATTCTCTTATCGTTATACGTGGCTGCTGGGTATGCAACGCATCCTCGCATGAAGGCTTCGCCGACGCTTTGTTTGTATCAAACGAAGACAAAGAATCACTAATATTTTCGCTTAAATTAGTAAAAAAATTTTGGCACGATTGTTTTATACCCTCGAACGGTGTAGTAAAACTTTCACTCCTGTGCGTTTGCCCTTTATGATGGGGACTACTTTGACTGCTACTGGAACTTGAACTGTCCGTTACTTGTACATGTTGTAAAACCAGACCAATCAGATCTTCCTTCTCCACACATCCAGCCGTTGAAATGTGTTTCGATTGCAGATAGAAAATCAAATCTTTCGATTTCATATCCATCAAATCGGAGCGTAATAAAGGACGTTTAGAAAACAACTGACATATCTCACATATAGGTATTTTACGCGATCCTTTTAAGCAATCGCTGCAAAAGTAACGTTTGCATTTTCCACAACTCCTTTTCCGACGAAACACGGAGAATTGACAATGACAATCCTCGCAGGGCATTATTATTGGTTAGCTCGCTTAAATATGTAGTTAAACAAATCAATGATTCACTCTTATTCGAACGTAATATAAACATCCAAAGACAATTCACTCATTGTTTTGAACAGATTTTTTATCAAGAAAAACTGATAAAGATTTACTGGTATTGATTGCTTTTTTTTGTTTCTTTTTTGCTATGAGCAATATTTGCAAAGCAAAAAATATGTGCAAATGAGAAACGCTCTAAAAGTAAATAAATAACATTATTATGATTGAACTAAAGAGAAAATAAAACGATAATATAAAAACAGGAAGAAGTTATCGACCTCAAAAAAAAATGTTACCTCTAAATGTCTCTGCTATTCACAAGTAAATGATAACTACAAACAGCTGCGTCTATATAATTTTGAACATAAGAAGTTTTTGTGTTGGTCAAGAGGGGTATAAAAAAGTCCATCTTGGGCGAAAATTATTTTGCCACATGTTTAAGGGTAAGTGTGTCAGTACATCGATCTACTCCCCAATGTAGTTCACTGTCTTAAAATGACAGACGAACCAAGTTTTTTTAATAAGATTACATAGAAAGCATATGAAATTGTTTACAAATCAAAGGTCGATATAGCGAATTCAAAAGAAAATATATGAAATTGTTTACAAATTAAAGATCGGCATGGCGAATTCAAAAGGACACATATGAAACTTTTATTTTCTATTGTTCATTTCACCGGCCGTGCAGTGTTGCAATAAAATAAGCCCAGACGTGAGTGATGACAACTTATTCTTTATACAAGTTTTGCATAAAAATTCTTTTCACATCGATTATTGAAAAGAGCTAACATACTCTGCAAGAGGAGAACGCTTATTATTTCTTTGCTTCGTCCGAAAATATAATTTTGAACACAAGCAGTTTTTGTGTTGGTCAAGCGTTGAAGACATATGAAATTGTTTACAAATCAAAGGTCGGCATGGCAAATTCAAAAGAAAACAACTAAATTAATAGTACCCTGCGAAAGTGTAGCTAATTAGAAAAAAAACAGTTCAGAAATCCAACAATCCAACAAAATTCTTGGGAACCTGCTTAAACATGTTTTTATCCACTATGAAGACCAAGTATGGTTTTCTGAATTCGCGTGAAGAATTTTCCAACCAAAATAAATGCGAATGTATTTATTTTTAGAAACAGAATGCTAAAGCTTAAATATCTTTATCGTTAGGTGGTGTATATATTGTTTACAATTAAATTGTAATATTACTTTTGGTACACTGTTTCGAAATATTTCTATATCACCAAGTGTTGTTTTAATATTTATAAATTCTCCATCTTCCGGCAAAAATCTTCAACTTCGTCTTTAATATCATCTTCCGCCTCCTCTGGCATGCCCATCGGAAAATTGGTATGTAAAAAGTTTCTGTACAATCGGAATAAAGTCAATGCTGTCCTCTTCTTGTGCCAATTCCGACTTTGAATATTTTGAAGACGAGACAGACTTCAGACATAAACTGAGTAATAAAACGAGTAAATCATTGAACCTTATCAAAGCTCGAAAGCAGCTGTAGTAGAAGAATAAAATTGTTGAAAAAATTTGAAAAAATCAGAAGGGAAAATAATAAATTACTCTCTGCGCTAAAATTGTACTCAATTTTTTGATAATAAATAAGAAGAGACGATATTAGGATTAAGTTGGATAGCTTGAGCTTATTTAATGCAAAAAATAGCTTTAGATGATTTAAGTGAAGAAGAAAACTAATGATAATGATAATGGTGCGCAAAGGCGTGTATTGTTTATAGATTTCCTAAGGTGAATTACTTTTTACAGTTGAAGGTTTTTTAACGCATTAAATTGTAAGGTATATTATTTTATATTACGCTCGAAAGCGAGTAACCACAAAAACATTATAGCGCGGGAATAATGTTATTACGGTAGGTTATTTTTAAACACATGCAACGTATTCTCCGACATTAACAATTTTCAATAAGTATTTTTGTCTCTATATACCTTGTGGTGCACGGCGTAATAAGCTTGTGCGGATTTGTCCAAATTCGGTAAGATTATTGTTTGCGTTAAATTATTATTATTCACGAAATTTCATCTAGAAATTTTGAAATATAGGTCTTTTTACGATAAAAAGATTCAATTTCTTTATCACACTAATTTGGGAAACCTAAACACCAGTACTCAGTGATTTTTGTCGCAAAATTCTAAAAATTAGAATAGTTTTTCATATAAACGCTTATCAAGCAGCGCAATAACATCAATTTTAAATTATGTGAACAAGAAAAAGAATTATTCACAAAAAGTGGTCGAAAAAAGGAGCCAATCAAAACGATTTTCAATAGCGCTCGTCCTTGGGTGAAAATATGTCAGTGAATCAAATTTAATGTTTTTACTTGCTCTTTTTTCTTACTCCATAACTCGAGAGTATTTTTATATGTCGGTTACCATAAGTAAATATTATGTTAATATTAACGAATAATTTCATTGATATTAATAACGCTTAAGTGCATTTTTATTAGCTTTTTGTAAATTTGAATTGTATTGCAAATAAAGAATTATATTTTTTTTGTCAATTATTGCATATTTTACTTTTATCCAATTATTTTGTAAAATACACGGATAGAATCGGCAAAAGTTTGCAAAGCAAAAGGGAAATGTATATCTTTGTTTATTGTAATATATACTATATATGCAATGAACTCGAGCTAACGACTTTGATTACGACTGTTCAGCATTGTTTATGGGGACGAAAGAAATGCATGCGATAATGCGTTAAAAAGTTAATTAAAATAAATTTGCAGATTTGTGACTTGAGATACGGATGCTTAGTTGGGCACGATAAAGCCGAAGTTGTTAATCCGCTATTGTAATTAAAAGCACCGAGAGAGAACGTTAAAATGTAAAAATCTAAACGTCAGTCTTCAGGTTGTTATTACTTAGTACGGTTTAAAAAACTAAATTCATTGCACATTGCATAGCATTTTAATGTAACGTGGTTATTAATAATTAATTGATATTTATTTTTAAGACGGAGTATTTTCCTATATTTGTGCATTGGCTTATCAGCGAAGGATAGATGAACTATAGGAGTAAATAAGCGAGAGGTTAGAAAATTTTTATAGTCGTTCCAATATGAAAATTTGTGGATGGAGAAAACGAATAACATCTGTTGGATACTTGCTACTAGAATGGATAGTTCGATTTCTAATGCCATTGAGCAACTTGGAAAACTATTGGACTACTACATGTCAATAGATGTATTTCTTTGTATATGTATGTTTGCATACATATATATATCAATTTGGCGCTAAATGTCTCACCTGATGTTTGTGAGAGTGCACATCTTTATTATTAAGAATTTGTTGCTATATTTAAGTTAATACAAATCTTTACATATTTCGATTGTGCGCGCAATGTCTTGGCTAACTTTTGTTATACTCTACACCACTTGCGGTACAATGGCAAATTATGTTCGGCCGAACGTATGCGATATCCAGAGGGACTTGAGATAAACCCGCCTTTTATATGTTTAACTAAGCATAGGATCACACCATTTTTTCGACTCCTTCCCTTAAAACACCTTATCTTAAAAAGTCGTTATATGAATAACAGCCTTAAGAGAAGGATATTTAATGGTAGGCCACTACGCTTTTATTTGTTTTGTCTTTGTCGAGTCAATTTTTAATAAAAAAAAACTGTATACCTTATTATCAGTGAAAAATGTTCAATTGTTTTTTATTCACATGTGAACGCAATTTCAACGCGAATTTCATGTAGATTGGGAAGATGTATAATATTATAAAATAAAAAATATTGCGCAAAATTAGTTCGTATGTCGGCAAATATAATAAAAAAATAATGAAATGCGAAAGCTATATATGCTATCTTCCTTGTGTTCTTATAAAAAGTGGTCCAAATTCGGTTTGGTTGATTTTATTATCGGTTTGTTATTATGCGTCATCAAATATTGAATATTAAATTTTTTTATCATATGAAGATCCACTTTTTTTACGCTCATTTTTGTGAAAAGATGGAGCAATCCAAACCATTTTTTTCATTCTATAGTAAGATGATAAGCGATACTTATTGGTAATCAGGCGGATATATTCATTTACAAATTCTATGGCTTTCTGATTTACAATTGACGCACTTTTGATTGTTTTCCACGACTTATAAGTGAAAATATGTTCCGCCCATAAAAGCTTAGATAGCAATACGAATAAAAATTTTCTTATCCAAAGCTTCCTAGCAAACAAGATGAGGTTCAGAGTGCAATTAGCATCTAAAAATTACAAATGTAGTTAAATCTTAAACGTGCAGACGACGCAGCACGGCGGCACGAAAAGAATACGAAATCAGTCACTTGTTCATGAAATTTGTTTACAATCGAGAAAAAATAGAAAAAGCGAGTTTGAATTTGGAGGTATCTGAGAGTCATAGAATGATCGAGTCTGAATTTGGATTTTTTTGATTACAGTGGCTGCCCTGAATTTGGAAGCATCTGAGACTAATAGAATAATTACTTTTACCTGTGCAACTTCCAAGACCTTTTTTCTAAAGATAGATCCATATGTGTAATTACACAATTGAACAAAGATATTCATTTATAGGATTCTTTATGGAGCTTAATATAATTTTGTTGTTATTTATTATTTCAAATTAATTAATTCACATAGGACTACAAATTGAAAAGAAGATTATGTATAATAAAAATCCTAACTTTCAATTTAATTAACATTCATAATCCTATATATATATATATATATATATATTTTTTTTTTTTTTTTCCATGTATATATATATATATATATACATATTAGTATACATATAATGTAAAATGCTAATTGCTTGCTAATTAATTATAGTATTAGTGTTAAATTAATTCTTGTCGTTTAATAATAATAAAAAAAAATTTATTATATGGGTTATATACAAAATGATAAACGAGTTTTTAAATTCAGAAATTGTAGCAAGAAACCCAGTTCTTTTTACGAAACGTTTCAAACGAGGCAACAATATGTTTCGAAGCGATATAGAGATCGTTTAGTATTCTTGAGTTTGCGCGCGGCACTTAAATAAAATGAGAACCTTTTTCACCTGATACGCGTGTTTTTTGTTGTTGTTTTTGTTGTCAAACTTGCTTAAAGGGAATGTATAAAAGTTGTTTAAATGTTTGTTTAGGCAAGTAAAAGTGAGTTTTCTAATATTAACGATAAGATTAATAATTAATTAATTATATAATAAATTGTGTGAAAGGCTTGCTTTACATAGAACTTTTTCAGGATTTCCCCTAGCAATACGATATCAATCTGGATATATATATATACATACATTATCATATGCTTATGTGCATACATATGTATATTTTGTGGTATTACTTTAATACTATAATTTTTCGATATTTGAATCATTTGAACCTTCCCTTGGCTTTTGATAATGATGTAAATTGTCGTCATTATTATTATCATCATCATGTGAGACTGCTTGTCTTGCAATTTCTGTTGTTGTGTTTGTTTGTAATGTCTCTAGTCTGGCCTTCTCATAATCGACAAAATCATCAAATAAACTTGGCCAAGCTTCAGTGTCGTCATAATTATAAATATCACATTGTTCGGAAAAATTTAAAAACATATTCCACGTGTCCTTCGGTATCCCACGTATACTTGGATGCTGTTCGAGAAAATGTACCCAATTGTTAAGTAATTCAGGTGTGTGTACAGTAAATACTAATTTCCATAACGAAATGGCCATATCCAATGATAAAATACGTTGATCAGGTTCAAGACCAAATCTGACAAAGAGTCATTTATTAAAATGTAAGTAAAGAAAAAAAAGGAAATTAGAACTCATCGACTGGCTTACCGGAATGTAAATCTATACAACTGCTTAAATAGCTCCGAATCTACTTTTAGAGTCTCGATTGTCTGCTCCAGTCTTTTACGAATGGTGTCTATGGTATCGGCTCGCATTTTGTGCAAGCCTTCTATAAATTCAGGACGTGTAAAACGACACATTTGTGAGGCATCTAAGCACCAGGCAAGCACCAGTATAGCAAATTCGTCGGGCTGATAATTGAGATCACGACATAAACGTTCTATACCCTCGGCCAATATCATATCCTCATCGGGATCTTTATATTCTTCGAACAGTTTATTTAATGTATTATCGGAAACTTCTGTTGATTCTTTAACTAAACAGAATTAATGCAATAAGCACAGAGTCTGGATCATTTTTAATGTTTGCACTTACCAGCTGCTATAATGTCACTATTACCGTTAAGTAGTATCAAAGATTTCTTAAAACTACTTCGTTTTGTATCACAATAATTTGCTGGTTTGAGTGGACTACGCGTAGAGAGCAATTCGTCAGTTTCTTAATTGAAAAAGGAAGAAGGATATAACAACAATAAAGAAAAATCTCTATATAAACTTTAAATCAAGATAAAATAGAGATTCGTACCATGAGACCTTTCACGATAAAATGTACCACCGCCGCCTACTTTAACGGTATTGTAATTTAAATGATGGAATTGATCGTTAGCGTTTAAATGACCTGCTTGTCCCGCGTAACGTTTGTCAATAGAAGTGTGGTGCCAATCAGGTGATGATGATGAGGTGGAGGAGGTAGCAATAGCAACAGCAGCCGCACCATGTGTATTCGACGGACGCTCCGTTTGATTTTGGAAGCATTGCAAACAATTTCCCATAGCGGGACAAACGTTCGCAAAGGGATGGCAGTGGGCAGTTACGGTTTTGCTTACTAATATTTCTTCTAGATGTGCGCTTGTGTTTTTATTTTTGTTTCTCTTCTCGAAAATTCACTTTTATTTACGTCTCATGTAATTTAATAATTGGCACTAAATGTTCTAAAAACGAAATCCATAATTACAAGAAAAAGAATTTCCCTTGAAGAAAACAAACATATGTTTGTTTATTTCTTATTCAACTGTGCGCGGAAAAAAAAACTTCACTTCCTTATAAACGATTTAATCAATTTTTGTTGTTGTTGATCTTATTCCTATTTTGCTTCCTTTTTGTATTTTGGCAATAAATCTGTAAAAAATGCGCCATGGAAATCATACCATCCATATCTTGTTCAATCTTGTCTTTGTCTTATAGTATTTTTTTTTTTTTTTTTTGATTTTTCAAGGATGTTTCAATGCTTCTCCTTCTGCTATTTTATAAGCAATTATATACATATGCACATACTTAATTTCTTCACTTTTCTGCATATTCTTTGTCTTGTCGTTGGCTTTAAAATTATCGCAAATAAATATAAAGTTTATTGAACCTTTTGCTTCGTTTACGTTTTTCCAATAAATTTTCTTTTATTTTTGCAATAATTTGCACAATTTAAAAATAATTTCAGTCTCTTTTTTAATTCTTTAAAAATGTAAAATTCATTTTTGTATTGTTGTTGTGAAAATAAAACAGAAAAATATGATTGCACTGAGGAAGAGAGTGGAGTAAAAAGCTACACACACGCACATATGTATATGTTCTTCATTTTTCTCATATACGGGAGAATTGTAAAAATTGTATGAGCAAGAGGAAGAATTGGAGACATATGAGTTGTTTTGTTATGGCTGAGTTTATACAGCATTTTACAACCCTTCACATATGATATTTATACGGAGTTGCCAGTTATTTATGAAAAATTTAATTAAAAATTTGGTCTAATTATAGAAAAGAATATACAATAGGATATTGAAAAGAATATTAATTAGAATTAGAAAATGAGGATCAGAAAATTAGCTAATTCTTTTCGGTTAGTTTCTCATATAAATTAATATATGCTTAATAACTGACACTTGCGTAAAGTGCGTATATAAGATTTTAAGAAAGTTAGTAGTAAGAAATATGTTTTTTTTTTTATACAATGATTTTGTAATTTTATTAAACAAAAGAAAAATTTTAAATTCCAGAAGTGTTTGAAGTTTTTTGAATTTGCTGAGAAACAAGATCAATTAAATTGACTTGCAACAAAATTAGCTTCGCCGACTTTGCTTTACAGCGGCTAAATAAAGCTGAGCGTAAGAACGACTTTGTTGACTTTGCTCTACATTCGTTAAGCAAGGGCTCAAATAAATGCTGAGCGAACTGAGAGAATTGTTATGTTTGTTGTAAATTTTTTTTTTGAATTAATTCATTTTGCTGCTGGCAACATATGGTGTTACTACTTAGATATTTCAGGCATCCCTATTGCATTGCAAAACTTAGTATTTTTGATATTTGGTAGTATTTTTGAAAAAAAATCAGCTAACGGCTTTTTCATGATAAAACAAAGAAAAGCCGAAAACAACAATGTATTTTAAATGTGTTATGGTATTTTAAGGTATTTTAATGAGAATTCTTTCTGTTTGCTGTTATTTCATAAGGCAAATTCTTTCGACATTATAATACTTAGTGCCAGCATATATTTAAAATGTAAAATTTAGGAGGAAAAACAAGATCGCATGATGAACAATTTTGATTAATTTTTCGTTTTTCGATGTAAATTATTATTTTAAGCAGACAGATAGATGGGCGGACAAAGTAACGTACCTAAATAGACTAAATATGTTGTTCAAATGTGTTACTAAATAAAGCTCGTCACAGCAGTTCTGTTCGTCTTGTTCCGAAATTGTCAATAATCACCTGTAGTTTATACAAGACCTTTGATCGGATTACATGAAGCAAGATAGACGCCCGCACTCGATTGGTAAGATGGTGTCAAGTTACAGCTAAAGGAAAAAGTTTTTTTGGTAAATGTAAACGTTGTTATGACTCAACTACATTGATGTTTACGATAAGCGAAGATATGAAGTTAAATTTATTCTTTAAGGCGTTATATGGCGCAATGTAGAAATCGGTTCTGTGAGTGAGAACGAAATATCATTTGTTTTGCAGGTAATTGCGCAAACTAAAATCCATATACTTACTCGAATCAATTTGGTGGTATAAATTGTTTTGGGAATTTGCGGAGAAATGCTTGCTCCAGCTCACGTAATTGTCGAACTTGGCATGTAGGCTGTATTAAAGAACATTTCCGTTAAGGATATTTTAAAGATCCAACTTATTTTTGTAAATTAAAACTTTTAAGCTTTGAAGCTTTAAGTATAATTTTGAGTAAAAGAGGAATTACCCATCACCGATGGATGTGGATGTGTTCATTTTGCCAAAACCTATGTAAAAAAAAGTTTAAGAAGACCTACAGAATACATAACATATATATTCGTAATCAGTATAGAATTCTGAATCCTTCGAAGCATGTCCGCGATGTCTTTCTGCGTAATGTCTACGGAAAACATTTTCTCGTAGCAAAAATGAAGATATCGGCTTTAAATTTGGAAAAATTTCAAACTCTCCTGCATGCACCTTGACACTGAAAATCGGTCAAATTGGTTAAAACACATGCCGTTGGTATTTTTTTTCGTGAACTTCAATAGATATAACGATAAAAAGTTCCACATATATATTCAATGGGTGATTCTGCGTTATACCTGTAATAAAGCGGGAAAAAGTCAGCCACGCCCAGCCAACTTTATAAAATATCGCATTTTCATTTTCCTTGACTTTCTTTTCACATCCTACATCATTCGTGGTACAAGGGTGCATTAAAAGGACTTTTTCTAAATCCTCCCTTTATTACACTGATCAATTCAGAATTACTTTCCCCTTATAATCTTCATATTTATTGCGGTTATTCGAAAGCCAAATGAATAAGTCACTGAATTTAATGCCTTCAACGAAAAGCTCCACAACCTTGAAGATGATGATTCATTATGTGAAGGGACTCACGCATGATCCGATTAAACTGATTTTTGAACTTAAAACAGAAATTTTGTAATAGACGACTCAACATAAAGTTTAAAACCGAAAACCCTAACAATTTTAAATTTTAATTTAAGGGAACAGTTTTTTTGGGAAATGTAAACGTTGCTATGACTCAACTACATTGATGTTTACGATAAGCGAAGATATGAAGTTAAATTTATTCTTTAAGATAAAGTTTTCATATCGAAATTGTCAATTCAAAGAAGGGACGAAAAAACGGGAGACATGGCTATGTTGATTTCGTTACTGATTTTGCGCAAATGTCTTCGGTGTTTCTTATATAATACGCTACGTTAAGAAATCGTTTTTATACCCTACGCAACTTGCGGTACAGGCTCCTTTTCTGAATTGATTTAACCATGTTTGTCCGTCTGTCCATATAAATTGGTGTACAAGGTAGAGATCACAATTTTTGAGATATCTTGATGAAATATGGTACACTGACGTGCTTTGACCCGAACGTGAACGCTATTGAAGATGGTTTACATCGACTAGGTAATAGTATTTCAGCATTTCTAAATTGGTGTTAAAACTTTGAACCGTCTAGGGAATTTTCTTGAACCCCCTCTCGTATAATGACAACTGAAGTTCATATGATAAAAAGTTCCCATTTCTAAAGCTTCATGATGAAAATCAGATCAAATTTGAAGTGTTTCGGCCCAAAATTTGAAGTGGATTCTATGAAAATTGATCCTTTTTAGGGTAGAAAGGTGTAAATGTTAATATGTTAAGATGAAAATCGCCCCCTAATATTAGTTTGATGTAAAATTATATAAAAATTTACATCACGTACGCTTCTATACGTTCTATAGCTGTTTTTTATTGGAATTCGTATGAAAAACATTGGAATTCTTATGAAAAACAGCTATAAAATGTATAGAAGCAAACCGGAATTGGATCCTACATCTAATAAGGATTTTCACGAAAATGTTGTGTTTTTCGGCACGAAAGTCTAAGTTTTAATATTCCATAATAAAAATTGTTCCATAATAGTAATTTGATATGAAAATTAACTGCGCTGAACTTTGAAGACGTGCCTTAATGTTTTGAATATCTTGGGCACAACAATTCTTGCGGACCACAAGTCTGCATTTGCACATAGATCTAGTTTTTCATATACAGTTCCATAATGGTAAGACGGGGCATAATCATTGCAAAAATAAGGATTGTGTTTGACAACGTGGTGTAGAGTGTTGAAATGTCTATATACTACGACTATAATGTTTTCACTTGTTAAAATTTGCGTTCATTTATTACACACATTGACTTTCAGCGATTCTCAAATGAAAATTTCCGTTTTGCCATTTCCTCTCTCTCTCGCTCTCTCTCTCCCTCTCTTAACAACTTACAACTCAGGCTAAGCCAAATGATGGCTAACAACTGGTGTTTCGAGCAACTTTGGTTTCAGTTTAAGTTTGCGTGCGGAGTTTGCGTTTACTGCTTAAGGAAGAAGCGATCGCGTTGGATCGATATTAAGTTAAATTTCACTTAAGTTTGTTTATACCTTTTTTTTTTAATGGGGTTTTTGTTTGTACAAGTTTTACAAGAAATGTTTTTGTGTGAAGAAGTAACGATAAAACAATTCCCTGAAAATGAATAAATGTTGTTTGAACTTGTCAACAAAAACCAAAAAAAAAACAAACACACAGATACATACATATGCAAACACATAGGCAGTCAGGAAGAGTTTATAGTTTTTAGTGTTGAAGTTATGAACGAGCAAACTTTAGAGTGAAGCGTTGCATTTCAACTGTGAAATGTGTACGAAACAGAACAATTTGTACGGCATTGTGTGTTTGCTTTGCATTGTGTTATGTAGATGCACGCTGTTTATACAATGTCGATGCATTTGAGCATGTATGTGCATGTATGGAATCTTATTAACAATGTGATCTTAAGCGCATAATATTACACTTCTCGTTGCAAACAACAACGTGCCAGTGAATAAATAAATGACTGACTAAATATCTGTTTACAGTTTTACGTTTGTTTACTCATAAAGAGACACATACACAAGCATATACACGAAAACATACACATTCGAGTGCACATAATAATAATAATAGAAGTGCATGAACATTTACATGCATTTTAAGTATTCGGGTCAGTGATAATTTTCATTTCGCTTTTTTTGTTGTTTTTAAATATACTTAAAATACTAGAGAAACGTGTATAAACTTCTTTTCTTTTTTTTTTTTTTTTTGTTTTGGCTTACAATTCAACGATTGTCAAGTATACGTTTCAGAAATGTATGAAATTTAAAGTTCTTTGTATTGTAGCCCTTATCTACTAGAGATGGCTAATGAACGTTTTCATAAGTTAGTATCTTCTATCGTTTCCCGTTGTTTGTGTTGTCGGAACTTATCAAATTCATCATATTACAGAGCGGCCAAAGATGGACTGTTAGAAGTTTTAAAAGAGGCTACACGCAAAGATGCCAATGCCAAGGATGGTGACTCTATGACACCGGTATTGTGGGCGGCTTTCGAAGGTCATCTAGATGCTTTGCGCCTTTTATGCGGTAGAGGGTAAGTTGATCGCATTCGAGCGTAATTCCGCATAAGTAAAGATCGCAACTACTAAGTCACAAGTCGCAAGTGCGGTAGAATGGTCTTAGCTTAGTTCGCGATGCCATAACACTTACCCATATTCGTGAGGTTATGGCCATCATCTCTCTACCTCTTTCCTCATTTCCTCCTGACCTTTACCATGTTACAAGATTACGGGCCAGCCCAGCAGTGATTGATCATTTAAAGAAAAAAAGAAAAAAAAATTCCATTTTAATTTTCGTTGCAATTTCCAACTCACAGTGGTGATCCCGATAAATGCGATCAATTTGGTAACACAGCCTTGCATTTAGCTTCGGCCAAAGGACATTTGAGATGTGTCGACTTTTTAGTGAAATTCGGTGTTAACATTTACGCTTTGGACATCGATAAACACAGTCCCAAGGACTTGGCTGCTATTAATAATCGCGATGAAATTTTACGATATTTGGATAATGCTACGGTTAACTTTGAAGCCAACGATAAGTAAGTTTGTTTCCTTAGCTAAACTTCAATTTTGTAAAATTGTCGCTTCATTTCTTTCACATTTAGAAAAAAAGCTAAAGCCTTAAAAGAAGCGGCCGAAAAGAATTGCGAGAAACGCATGAAGGAATATATGAAACGTCAGCAAAAGTTAGATCATGATTGCGGTGATATGAAAAGTACTTTACCTACGAATGCTAAATCTGGCAAAATGCTTTCGACTTTAAAGCAAAAAATCTGGTCCAGTCAAGGTAATCTGCATAAATTTCCAAAGGATGCCGATCAAAGTAGCATTTGTAGTAAGGCCACGCTTAAGTTTAGTGATCTAATTAATGGGGAACCCACCAATGCTACTACCGGCTCCGTGGCCAGTAGAGCTAGTAATAATGCTCAACAACAACAGTTCAAAGCATGTAATCATGATTTCAGTTTTAAAATAGGCGAAGTAGAACCAAATGGGGGTAGACGCACTGTCACCTCGTTAAATGGCGTACAAAGGGATTCAGAAGTTTTATATGTGGGTAGCTTTACTGCTAATGAAGATACTTTGGGTAAACGTGGGAAAGTTAATGGTCTTTTTGAAGATGAGCCCCAGGATGGGAACGGTAGTGACGTTGAATCTACTTCGAAAATGAATTACGGTACTTTGGCGCGTTCACTTTCTCAACCCGATATTTTAGGCGACTCTGAGAGCATGAATTGCTTGAGCAATGATACAACCTTACAAAGAACTCCGGGCCTGTTTGATCGACCTTTGTTGGGGAGTTTAGCCTTCAGACGTTCTGTAACGGCAGCTCTAAGCCAATTTCCGCACGAGTCATATAACGCAGATGACAGGGAGTCGAGTACAGCTGCTACCGGTTCAACCCGATCCAATTCCGGAACTTTGAAATCTCGTTCCAGTAAATCGCGATCTATACTTAATCTTTCTGATACGGATTCCGAATGTAACGAAGGCTACAGTGATGATGATCAGGATGCAGCTGGAGGACCCATACAATGTTTCCTTACCGCTTGGGCCCTAGAAGAATACCTACCAGTGTAAGCGTTGATATTAAGTAAACTGATGATTTTCTCTAAATTTCTTACGATCTTTTTAGTTTTCAAAAACAACAAATCGATTTGGATACTTTGTTACTATTAACTGAGTCCGATTTGAAATCTCTGGGATTGCCATTAGGGCCCTTCCGTAAACTATCTTTTGCTATACAGGAACGTAGAAATGCTCTAACCAATCCTGGTTTAATGCAAGATAGCCATTTGTAACTATTAGTATTACTGGAAATGAAAGTATTACTGTACACGGTTTGCTCTTTGCTCTTTCGAAGAGAATCTTATACATCAATCTTATATATTATATTTAACATTACACATTATACTTTACATTACTTATTATATTTAAAAGGACTTAAAAATAAACATTTGACGCTACGTTACTTGTTGCATTATATATAATTTATAATAAATACGCTTAAGATTCATCAGCTCGTCGTGGGTGCCTTTTTCTACAATTACACCCTTCTTTAGAACACAAATTACATCGGCGTCACGTACTGTGGTTAAACGATGAGCTATAGTTACACAAGTACGTCCGCTGCGCGCCACTTCCAATGCCTGTTGTACTACCTTCTCACTTTCCATATCTAAAGCAGAGGTCGCTTCATCTAATATTAGAATTTTTGGGTTTCTGACCATCGCTCTTGCAATAGCAATACGTTGCTTTTGCCCTCCCGATAACTGAGCTCCTTTGGAACCTAAGAGTGTCTCATAACCGTGAGGGAGAGAGGTAATGAAATCATGTATGTTGGCTTTCTTTGCAGCGTCAATGATTTCCGCCATTGGCATGGGATCACGACAATTATTGCCATATGCTATATTATCTGCTATGCTACGATCGAAAAGTACCGGCTCTTGAGAAACTAAACTCAGTTTCGAGCGTAGCGTTTCCAAGGTGAAATCGGTGGTAGGTGTACCACTTAGGTTTATTGTGCCTTTGATGGGATCATAGTAACGCAAAAGCAATTGCACACAAGTCGACTTGCCCGATCCCGAAGGACCTACCAAAGCTACTGTTGAACCCTTTTGAATCTCCAAATTGAAATTTCTTAATATTGGAATGCCTTGACGTGTAGGATACTCAAAGCTTACGTTTTCATAAACGATATTACCTTCGGATTTCTAAGGATAACAGAAGAAGAAAGTTGAAGAATTTTGTCCTCTTAATAATAATTATAGAAGAAATTACCTCTGCAGTGTTAAAGGGTCTTATTTTGGGAATATATTGAGCAGGTAAGCGATCAAAAAGTTTGAATAATCGTCCAGCTGAATAAACACCAGCACCAACGTTTGGCGAAAATGCTAAAGCTTGACCCAACATCCACGAACCGAACAGCAGAGATTCTGCGACTCTAAAAATCCATTGGTTTAAGTTTTACTAGGTCGACTCAATAAGCGTAGTCTTTAATCAAACTTACTTAATAACATTTTCGTAAGGTAAACCATTGGCTACCAATACTGCGCCATAGAATAAAGATATTCCGTATGCGAAGAAAGGCGCCGATTGCCCTAGACCATAAACAAATCCACGAAAACGTAACTTTTTCACGCAACTCTTATGGACCAAATCTATTTGAGAGCTATAACGTTGAAGAACGTAACGTTCTTGACCCAGACTAGTTACCGTGCGTACATTGGCTATGGCCTCCACAGCTATTCGCGAAGCACTTTCAAAAGCCGCTTTCTCAGTAAGCGAACTCGATTCCATATAACGCGATTCTAAGAATATAGACAAACATATAAATGGCACCAAGACGATTGTGACTAAAGTTAAATTCCAAGAGTATACGAAGGCTACGGCTATGCCTACTAGTAAAGTGGATAAGCATTGCAGCATCATTCCAATACGGGTACCGGTTGCCTATCGAAGATATATAGATAATAAGCAAGTGATTAAAATGCAATTGTTTGCCATTTACCCCTTGAACATTGGAACAATCAGCCGCCAAACGTGAACATAGTGCTCCCACTGAATTGCTAGGATGATCGAAATAAGCTGCTTCTTGCTTTAGAAGCGTTTCAAAAGTATCGCGTCTCAAACGTGATGTCATTTTGGCACCGGCCGCGTTAAACATGAATGTTTGCACAAAAGTACCCAGCCCCGCAACTACACCAATTGCCATAAACAAATACGATAAAAATGTCGCTTCTGATTGCACATACGCGTTATCTGCGTTCGACATAATCTATAGTATTAAGGAAATAAATGGAAATAAAACTAGTTTAATTTATAAGCTTTAACGAAAGACTTCAAAGTTGCTCACCGCAAAAAAATCACCAAAAAAAATTGCCCAAGCGGGAAATGTAGCACCATGAAGAGCAGCAGCTACACAACCTAATGCTATGTATGGCCATTCGGGAGCATTCAACTTCATTATACGACTAAAGGATACTTCATATTTTTTCTCTTTCTCCTTTTTCACTCGTTTTTTACTCTTTTTCGATTTTTTTCGTTTCCCTGTAAATCCCAAAACGAATAAATTATGTATGCGAAGTGTGTTTACATACAGCAAACAAGTAGAGCCACTTACTTTTCTCACTCTCTCTCACATCGCTAACACCACGTTCAAGCGTAAAGCCACCATTGTCGTAAGCTTCGGTCGCTGCTGTTGACTCTTTGCCCTCTTCCTCCTCTTCGTCTGTCTCTTCTTCTTCTTCTTCTTGTTCAGGTTCATTGCTGTTTATTTTTGCTTCAATATCTGCCTGCTGTTGTTCATCGTCATCGTCGTCCAATTCTTCACTGGTTTTAGTTATATTCACCAGTTGATTGTATAAACCACCCTTAGCCATTAGCTGCTCATGTGTGCCTTGTTCAGCAACGACACCATCCTTAACAAATACAATTTTATCGGCATTTGTGATGGTCGAAAGACGATGAGAGACCACCAGGGTAGTTCTACCCCTACTGGCTTCTTCTAAAGCTATTTGCACCTTTTTCTCCGATGTAGGATCCAAAGCTGAAGTCGCCTCATCTAATAGCAGTATCTTGGGATCGTTGATAATCGCTCTTGCTATAGCTATACGTTGCTTTTGTCCCCCTGACATTTGTGCTCCGCGTTCACCAACCATGGTCTCATAACCTTTGGGTAATTTGACGATAAAGTCATGGCAATTGGCAATGCGAGCGGCCTGTTTAATTTCGTCTTTTGTTGCTGTAGGCTTACCATACCGTATGTTCTCTTCGATTGTAGTAGCGAAAAGAACTGGTTCCTGACCTACCACACCAATTTGCGCACGTAGCCATGCTACATTTAAATCTCTAATGTTACGTCCATCTAATCTCACGTCACCGCTTAAGGGATCATAGAAGCGCTGGAATAATTGTAATGTGGTGGACTTTCCACATCCTGAAGCCCCCACTAAAGCTACTGTTTCCCCTGCATTTACTTCCAAGCTGAAGCCTTGCAAAATTTTCACATCTGCTCGTGCCGGATACCGGAAGTATAAGTTTTCGAAGCTAATCTGTCCTCTAACTGCCGAAGGCTTTGCGCCCTCATCATTTAGAGGATCTATATAGGACTTGCGGTCTATTGTGCTAAACACACTCTGAGCAGCACCTTTAGCTGTACCGAAAGCCTCAATATGAGGCGAAGCGAATCCAATGCTCTGGGCCCCTATTATAATGCCGAACAGAACAATAACCAAAACTGCAGGTGTATAGCTTTTGTGTTCTTCGAGGCGATCGGATAGTACTAGATTTACTCCGTACCACATGGCCAAAGCGTAACCAGAATAAATAATGAACCACATAATGCAACCTCCAATACCAGAGTATAGACCTCGTTTACGACCCATATCTTCAGCTGGTTTCAGTAAATTCGTGAAACGTTGCACTTCCTTCTTTTCACCACCAAATGCGAGTACAGTGCGTAGACCAGAAAAAACCTCCTCGGCTACTGCACCCGCATTTGAATACGCCTTCAATTCTTTCTCAGTTAAAGAGCTTTGTATTTTAGCCACTAATGCCGTTGAAAGTACAATGAACGGACAACATAGTAACATAACTAGGGTTAGCTTCCAGCCGTAGAAAAACGAGACTGCAATGCCAAGAACGAAGGTCACAATCAAATAAGTAAATATTCCAATTTTCTCGCCAATTCCTTCTTTCATTTTATCAAGATCCCTAAATCGGCGAAAGCAAAAAACTGGTTAAAATAATCCTAACAATTAGAAATGAAAATTAACTTACTCTGCCATTTTGCCAGCAAAATTGTTACCCGAATTAGTATCGAACCATGACATATCTTGTCTTAGAATAGATTCTAAAAATAATTTACGTACGCGGGAAATCTAGAAAAGGCGTAAGGTTGTTCTCATTGAATCCATTTGGGTTTTGTTCAGTTCAGTATTTACCTGCTTTAGGGCTAATTTATTCAATATATTCACAGAGATCGCTATCGTTAAGAGCTGCAGTGCAGAGCCCACTACACTTCCCAACAAGAAAGCCCAACCATCAACTTTAATAGCCTGCATATTTTCATCGTGCGTTGCATTAGTTCTGCCAAATAAGAAACGAATCATTTTTGTGAATTTGGTTAAGAAGTCTTAAGATTGTTCGTTACTTTTCCTCGCCAGCAGTGAAAGTTCGAACTTAATAAATTTGGTTATTTTGCTGTTTTGCACCCAGACTGTCTGATGTTATTTTTAAATCTTAAGTGTACTTATTTAAAATGTTCGCTAGAAGCCTCCTTGCAGTTCTTGCTCTACCAAGACAATCCTGTTCTTCTGCATAGCTTGACCGATTTTGTGCGTTCGCATCTTCTATGTCGAACTAACCTCTTTTTGTTGTATTCATACGATTGCTGCTAAAATAAGTGATAACATGCAGAATGCTACGCAACATATTTTCCCTTTGAAAGAGCTTTAGTGACGATACGATATCACAAACAGTACCGAATCAATATCATAAGAGCCTCCTAAACAATCTATCTTATTTAATCGTTCTTCAGAACAGAAAGCTGACCGTTCGGGACTCTGCAGTAGAGCCAGCAGCGCATTACGCGTCTTGCGCAGTGATTTTCACTAACCTTTTGAACATGAAACGAGTGATGGTAAGGTTTTCCTTGAATCTGTTAAGCTTTTCAGCAATTTGTTGTGACCATTAAAGTCTCGTTCAAAGCTGTTAGCTCCGCTCAATCTTATGCTACTGTCGTAAGAGTCATTTCATTAATGTTTCTTATATAGAAAGCTGCTCTAGTAAAAATGCATAACAAGTCTGGCGAGAAGTTAGCCCGCTCGTGTACGTACCCCCACATTTTTGTGTTTGCTACAGGAATTTTGATTTTCGATTAATTTCTTTACTAAAATACATTTTACCATTACACGCTATCAGCCGAATAGGCTAAGGAACTCACTAACAATGCAATGGTGATCGGTTCAAATCTCACGTGCGGTAGAGTTTTCAATAAACTAATTTAACCGAAAAACTAATTAACATTATTTTAAAAACTGAACGTAACTTATGTTACATTATAGCCAACTAAAGTCGACTTCTTCTTCTTCACTTATTTTTTTTCACTAATAGATTTACAATTATAAAAACCATAATTGAGGCGATGGGAAGGCTTGTGTTTCCTGAGAAGAAGTTCACAAAACGTAATCGTAATCTAATGGAGTTAATTTCGTCATTAAAGGTCTTATTACTCTTTATTCTCTGATTTTCTTTATAAAATATTAAAAAACAAAAGTTGGTCCACGGCAACAATATGACCTAGAAATTAAGGCAATTTCATCGAAATCTCTTTATTGCATCTCACTCCACATAAACGTTACCATGAATGGTATGCCTTTATATGAAGATGAAGTGCAATTTGGGTGCATTATCAGGAAAGCGAATGGATCCTGACATCGGACATAGGCGTGGGTAGTGCAGCATATTGAATTCTCGGTCTTACGCTACTATAATAATTTTGTTCATTTTATCTTAGGTTTCTCTGTAATTTCATCTTAGTTTTACAATTGTTTGGTCAATGTGTTTTTTTACTTTATGGTGAGATATAGTTTAGCAAAGGCTAAAGAATATAAACATCCCGGTGGGATGTCTTCAGGTTACTTGGAATGCATATTGAACCAAAAAATTAAATGACTTCATTATATATGATTTAGCAAAGACACAAATCCCCAAATAAACCAATAATGACTGGACTGTCTTGATAGGCTATGTTCATTTTGATTTAACGTTCATGATAGGTAGGTTGGTTACTTTAAAGTAGCTGGAAATTATTTAAATAATTAATACATTTGTATTATGGAAAGTTAGACTGTTTTCGAAGTGAATGGAATAAATATTTTTTTATATCTACATATATTGTTCACAATTTATTCAATAAAGTTACGGCGGGTTGGGGTAAATGACAGAATTTATTGTCTCTCAATGAAAACTCTAGAACACACACAATATAGATACGATATTTAAATAAATAAATAGGTATTGAAGAAAGCGAGGCAATTCATCGAAATAGGCTAAGGAAGAAAAATAATTTGGTTTCCGAGTCCATCTATCTACTTTGCGATGCCCTTCGAATCTTCTTAATTCGTTGGATTCACTGACAAGATATTGCGACTTGCGAAGTTACTCAACTTGTGCAGGTATTCTGAAGGAAGTCTTTGCATTTGATTGTTAATATAAGGGATTCCTAGATCGGGTTGGCCAGCGTGAAGGCGAACGGATCACGAGACGTTAACAGTTAAACGAATAGTCTGAGATTGATATCTTTTTTTAGTATTTTAATGTTCGGGATACTGTCTGTACCCGCGTGATATCCACAAATTTTCAGATAGGTTCAGCTAACGATGAGTAACACTTCGAATAAAATGTTTACCACTTGTTGTTACTTGCTGTTTCCTACAATTGTATGTCAACAGGTCCCATTGGGTAGCAGGATATTCTTATATATATAATTTTTTTTTTTATAACCGCCCACTTGGAGGATGTCTCCTATAGGTGCGGGTCGGGAAGGGTTATACGAAGAGAGGAATGAATGAAGCGAATAGTGCTTGCGAACGTTTCACTCGAAAATAAAGACATTAGGTGCGGTGGCAAACTGCTCTGCTGCTAGGTTGTTCCAAAGGCGAGCAAAGCGTATAAAGTATTGAGGCTTACATTTACAAAATTTTTTTTTTTAGAAAGTTTTGTTTTTGTTATTGATTTCACTGTAAAACTAAAGTTGCGTTTTCGAACTTTTGGAAAAAATCATCGATATTTGTAATAATCAGAAATATTTTATGTCGAAAGTTTAGAAGACAAAAATTTGCCTTTGGGCTTTATATTACTACATTATCCTTGCAAGCGGCCACAAAAACGATGCATTTTAAAGGCGAGCAACGTAAAAGCTCCCGTGATTGCTGTTTTAATTCACAAATACACTGGGGATTTCCAAATATTTCCCAGTCGTGGTCATTAGCAAAAAGATTCTGCTGAGGTGAATAATTTACATTGAAAAACCATAAAAGATATAAACCTGATATGCGTTTAACGTCACAGCTTGTGTTTATGACTAAGCCAGAACTACTCTAACGCGGTTGTAATTTTAATATATTGCACGAAGTTTAGTGTGAAAATTGATGAATTGATGAACTAGTTTGTAATGAGAGATCCCACGTTAAAAAATACGCACACACACTCACACACACACACACACACACACACACACAAGCACGCAAACAAACTTTCGCACGCGGGTACACATTGAATCTGCAAGTTGTTAAGGCGAAGCCCACGTGACGAAGAATTTCCTTATTAAGCATATAATTCACATGCAAAGGGCAAACGAAAACAAAAAAAAAAAAAAAACATTTTGTTTCAAATATTTTTTTTGTTTTGTTGATAGAAAGTGTAACCTCAAGTCCGAGATGCAATCATTAATTTACTAATCAATCACACAAACACTCGTGCAACTGTTCCAAGTACTTACAAGATTTTTCCTCCACCAAATATTGGTAGAAAGAATGTTGTCGAAGATGTGCCAACGCCAACGGTACGATCGATAAGTAATGATGTAAATTCGCCATAAATAGCGACACAAAACGGCACATTGACGGCAGACAATGAGGCCAGTATTATGGCCAAAAATATTAGAAAACGTTCTGCTACTGTAGCGTAACGGAACTAAAACAAAAATAAAATATTTTCGAAACGTTTCTTCAAATTTTGCGCGCATCTGCTGCTTACCAATTGAAAATATGAAAATTGTTTTGCAGTTTGTGTGGAACTTTCATTTTTTAATCCTTTAAAGTTTCCTGTTTGCGTTAAAATATTTTCACTTTTTTGATTCTTTTCCGAACCGATTCGATTTAAATGCATTTTATTTACAAGTCGTGTTAAACACGCGGATAAAACTAAATGTAAATTAAATTATATTAAAAACTCAGAAAAAAAAAAAAAAAAAAACGGAAGAGTATCTTTTCATACAAATTACAAATGGAATAAAAATAAATTAAGAGCGAAATACGTCTGAATTTAATAAATCTCGAACAGCAACTGACATCAAGTTCATTTCGTATCAATGATAAGTTCTAACTGTTGCTGCTGCTGCTGCTGCTACTGCTGCTGCTGCTCATGCGGCTGCAGTCATCATCTTTCGTTCGAGCTTTCCCCGCTCGCTTATTCTACGAAAATGTATAGCAATAAATAATAAATTAATAAAACCGTCAAAACAAAAAAAACTAATAATCTTTTAATATATTCAAAGCGAGGAACAACTAATAAACCGTTACTAATTTCCCACTTATTACAAAATCTATTCCAGTAATTAAATCTATGTAATTCCGTAAAATAGAGAACCGATAAAACTCAATGATTTCGAAAATCAATGGAAATTCTAAAAGGGCTTGTAGAACGGGTTGCATTCATTGAAAAAATTCATTAAGTCTTTGAACAACTTGATGAAATCGCGAAACAATGCTCCATTTCCATAAATACACGAACAGAATTATTATTTAAGAAAGCGATATACTAGGTATGTAAACATGAAGTCGGAATTTAGTCATAGATCCATCTAACACTACCTGTGAAGAGTGTGTAGATCTGAAGTTGAGTTTTTCTTCTTTCTCTTCTTTGGTCTCAACAAACAGTTGCAATGCGAGCACATATCGTAACACAAAAATACTTATACTAATAACGGAAATGTTGCATTTAACATCAGTTTATTTTTTGGCCACATTTTCTTTGCCTAAATGATAGCGAAAAAGTACCTCTAGTGTCATATCCTAATTGTGAATAAAATGTGGATCTGTTTTAAGAATCCTAGGCGTAAAAATTTAGGGGTAGATGTAGCCATGTTGACCGTATGAGCGAACCAGTTTAGCAAGAAGACAATTCCCTGTGTTTGGTGGCGGTAACAGAAGAGTCTTTAAGGCAACAAATGGTCAGTTTTTTTGGTAAGGTGTCTGTCTATCCAGCGATAGAGCAAAGTCGATTCGCGACACGTTGAAAACACTCAATTGGGAAGTAATAGCCCGTACGACTTGGCCATCGAGCTCGAATCTTTCCGTTTATCATTTGTTTGCCTTGAAAGGCCGCGCACTTGCTTAGCACTTCTCGCTTTACTTCTCATGAAGATGTAAGGGAATGACTCAAGCAGAGGGTTTTCGCAAGAGAGCAAATGTTTTCTTTGTCAGACAGGTGGGGAAAAAGCACAACCCACAATGGGCCAAAAAATATAAATAAAATAATAATATAATTAAATTAAAATGAATTTTATTTCTCATTTTCGTACAAGAGATGCGTATATTCCGCGCAAATATTCCGGTTTCATATGCTCGTACCTGGTAAGCGGATGACTTGACCGCCATATTATTACAAAACTCATTGCTCTTATTCGATGGGATAGAATACTTCAAACCAAGCATGCTTAGCCAACCGTCTTATTTTGATTTTATGAATAAGATTTTATTTCGTGCCTTACTCCTAACTCTAGGTGTGTTTGTATGCTGCGTCATGCATTATAGCAAACACCTGTTATTCTTAAAAAGTTCTAATTATTTAATGATGAAAATTATTTATATATATATATATATATGGGTTCTTTCTGGTTATAGCGTTTTCTTATTTAATTTAGATAAGTTTTTATAGCCTGGCTTTCAATTATAGACGGAGCAGATACTTAATTACAAGTGTACTAATTTATTTTATTATATCATTATTGCAGTGAAAGAGAACTATGCTGACACTATCAAACCTTTTCTAACAGTTCACCGTAAAGCTGAAAATTCCCAAGAAAGTTTAGTAATAAAATCATTTATTGGTTTGACTTAGATTTAATAGAAAATTTATTCGTTCATTTGCTTTCTCCGCAACCTATGCATTTTTGTGTTATAGGGAATACACGTTGCAAGTGATAGGACGTCTTGACGGCATACATGCAATTAAGCCGTTCATCATTACTATTTTTGCTAATCGTTTCCCTCTTACGTAACATTTTAATGCGAAGCGAGAAATTATTTAAACTATATATCAGACCAATGTCTGTCGATATAGTTAGCAGACTATTGATTTAAGTTGTGTAGAAAGTATACGGAATTGTTAAAGCAAAGAAACCTATTTATTTAATAAATTCTGTTTTGTCCCCGTCCCCCCATCCCTCTGATCCCTTTGCTCATAATGTTCTAAACATTTCTTGTAGATAGATTGAGGCACAGCGAAATTCAACTAAAATGAGGAAAGTCAACCAATACATTACAGCTCTAAATGTTTTTTTGCACAATTATTGGATTGAACACTTCACACCAACTGGAGAATGGAGATTAGGTAAACTCTCGGTCTGATAAGAAACATATTAACTTTCAATTGAATAATGTCTTGATTTCAAACTTCGTGGGAAAATTTGTGAAGCGAGCCCTTCTACGTGTATTTTTAAAAAGCAAGAGTCTGAGTACGCTGCATATACACTCTAAACACCTATCTTCTACTTTCGCTTAAATTTTGTTTTATCTTTTCTTTTTTCTTAAATCATTTTAGTTCTTAGTTCTTTTAATCTTTGCAACTTTGTCTGTAAGCATGTTGCTTCAAAAATTTAATTTCAGAAACGGAATTAAGAAGGCATGTGCCTAGTTTTAGCTTGATATAGTAATTTTTGTGAATTCGCTGATGTCGGCAATAAGATGGACCGATGGACGGATGAACCGATCGAGCTAAGTCATTTACCTTTTAAAATTATGTCAATTTTTAATCAATAATAGTAGGACGTAGAGACAGACACACATTAACTGAATCAACTTTGCATCTTATGTTAATTAGGAATAATTATACTTCGCTGCTTCTTTCTGACTCCTGCAAACAAGTTAAGAAAATTAATGTACCTTAGGTAACATCAAGATTATCATCCACTCATGAAATGGTCAAAAATATAAACAAAAAAAAAACATTATAGTTTTTTTGTAAATGTAAATAAAAGTTTAATAGCTATTATCATTTTTATAAGACTATTTAATGCGGTTGATACACGCCGCTACACATATATTGTATTCATATAGTGTTTTTACAATGTATGAAAAGCCGCAGAGAAAGTTTTTACGTATATTCCTTTTTCTATTCTTAATCAGCCTGAGTAGCGTAATGCGGCCTTTCTGTCCGTTCGTCGACTTCTTTTTTATACCTTGCGCCACTTGCAACAAGTTGGTATATTAATTTTGTGCGTGTGTCTGCAACAGCGAGAAGGCATTGATATCGATCCACCGTTCGATGCAGCGAAGTAAGCTTGTCTGTGCGTCTCGTTATCTTGTGCTTAACGCACAGGTCGAAATTTTCGAGATATTTTGATGAAATTTGTAACACCAAAGTGTTTGGCCCAAGGCCACAAGCTATCGAAATAGTTTGGATACGACTACATTTTTTTAAAATGTTGTACCCCTTCCAGGAATACACGGCCTACGGTTAATGTTGCCGTTAGATTGCGGAATTTAAGGCATAGCATTGACATGCGTACGGTAGAGCGGTGTGAGCATCTAAAACGAAGCACGCGATTGCACCGTTCAAAGCGTTGGAGAAGCGATAAAGATGGTGGTTTCATTATTGGATTCTGAAGCGGCAAAAAAATAAAAAGGCTTGAGATCGAAATTCAAGGAATGGGGCTTAGAGACTTGGCTTAAGGGGTGAACAACCTTTTGTAAAGTCATTCATAATATTTTTAGTCAAATTGCGTGGCGATAACTCACTATCACATAAACCTATTATTGTAGAAGGATTTGCAGGCAAGAACATAGCTGATATCCCTACTGTTCTCCACCTTTCTAAAGCCAATATTACCACTGCCGCGAAGGGGTTTAAGTGCACAGAAAACATGAAAGAACACTCGCTGAAGTAACTAGAGGCTATATGTCAGCAAGTCTAGGAAAGAGAATGTACGGTGCTAGAAGACACTTTGGCGCAACTGCATTGCTAGCGTAGCGGATTACTAACAAGGCGATAGAAATAAATTTATTCCTTCTTCTTTAATAATTTTGTAATTTTTTGACGTAGAATATTATATAGAGCGTTGTATGTTATACATTCATGTATATTCCCCGGGTGCGTGGAATATTTTTCCCCACAACCTATAAAATATATTTTAAAATAATATTAATTTACTGAAGACTCGTTTCTCGCTTCAAAACAAGTTAGTGCTTGTAATAAAACAATTCGGCCCACGACAGATATAATTACTCTCTTCTTTGGTACTTAACAAAGTAACCTGTCCGATGACTAACATATTTAATATTGTTTTACGTATTTTAGTTAATTAGGAAAAGAAAAAAAAAGGAAAAGGTTCAGTAAACGTATTCCCAGAAAGCGTCATTAAAGCTTTTAAAAAGAACCTGTCAAGAATTTTTAAAAACATTTATATAAAATATGCAATTCACTAAAATACAAGCACGACAGCTGTCTTTAGAGTTACGCCGAATCTTTGTTTAAATCGATGCATTACATTAGTGCACTGGCAATAGATTATTAAATGCGGTGTCGTGAGGTAGATGTCCCTTTGTTTTTGTTGTTACTGATTGTAAGTTTCAATTTTTTCCTATTGCGAACACGTTTGCAGGCCAACCGTAGCGATTTCTTCCGCTGAAATATTATACGAACCTTGTAAATGTTTGCATCGAATGTCAAGTTAATACGTTGCTATGAGTATTTAACTATAGCTTTTGGCCCCGCAGGATTATGAATGAACCGTACCCATTTTTAGATGCAGGCTGTGACCGTCAATTAATCTGGCAAGTTTCGGCTTTTGATCTTAACGTTTACGAGGGTAGGTCGTTCCAACACCGGCACGACAAAGGGACGGAATTCAATCAACTCAGAATGTAAGGTTTATCAAAGACATATACACAATACATCACTCAATATGTTTGTAGCATGACATAAACATATCGCATGACTATCAGCGAATCCTATACGATTTTTCGATAGTATCAACATTCAATTAAAGTGGAATTCGAAAAATATTATGGGCAGATAGCTGCGTGCTTTGGACACAGGGCACCTGAAGAAAAACCTGAACTCTTGGTAACAAAAAAAGAAGAACCTTCAATGAAGTGTATCAAAATATCGTGACAGTCCGACCATTAGTTTCCAAGTTGTCTACAAGTTGTTTTACGGCCACATGGCTGTTGCTCAGAATACTCCGAGATACAGCACAGAGACTTAACAACTCACAAAGCATTTTATTCTTCTTATTGTTTTCATGTCTTAGGAACATCGTTCCATATTAAAATTGATACTGACTAGCGTTATTCTGACTATCAAATTTCAAATCTAATCTTTGAATCTAATACGAGCTTACGAAAACTATAGCAAGACAACACTTTTTTTTTCTCTTATAACGAGTAAAACGCTAGACATGAATTTTAAATTTTTTCATTGTTTTATAAAATCAAAAGTAGCGCCACTAAGCCACCTGCAACTCGTCATACACTTTACTTAAAAAGCATTTCACGGTATCGCAAAACGAAAAGCAAATATGGTGCACCCGAGTTCTTCGCAAGGAACACTTTTACTAATGCCAAAAAAATCATTGAATATTTTTGCAGAAATTTATGTTTTCTCTTGCAAACTTGATGTTATTTTCTTTCAATTAATTATGAATTTGCCAAATAAAAAAAAAGTAAATTACATATGCATTATATACATTCACTGCATACATTTATAAATTATTCTTTTTTTGATAACTACATGTTGTTCGAATTTATTAATGTGCATAGGTCAATGATAATGACAACCTGAAGAGAAAGACATACGCAGACAGTTAATTGAAGAAGACTACCGGTAGCAAAGATAATAAATTTTAAACTGGCGCATAGCGACGCATAGAAGACTTTATACATAATATTGGAAAGAAAATAAATTAATAAAATGCATTAATTGTTTTTATACCCTACACCATTTGCAGTGCAAATTTGCGTTGACAAATCGAACAGGACTTGATAGGCTTATTATACCGTTTGTTTTAGTATCCCTTTTTAAGGGGTTCTAAGCTTTCACGTCCGGCTATCTCTCTCTATCTGTCTGTCTGTTCATGTACGCATTCTCTGTCCATGTGTCCGCCTATGCTGATGTACGTCTGTCCCTGTGACCATCTTGCATTCTTGGGTGCAGCTGACAGGTCGCAATGCTTGAGATATTTTGCTGAAATTTATTACGCCGATATGTTCTTGATCAAGGATGAACGCCATTTTTCGATCACTTCCCAAGTAAAAGTTTATTTGAAAAAGTTTCTATATGAATAACTGAATGAAGAGGAATCGTGTAGGGCATTTAAGGATACTTAAATGCATAAAGTTTTGAGAGCTTCATGAGATTATTTTTACAAATTTATGGATGTAATATAAACTAATTTTTAAATCTAAATGTAAAAAGCTTTTGCATCTAACTAACTGTGGAATGCAAAGAATTGAGTATATCATTAAATCGAATGCTTGCTATAATATAGGAAAGAGTTAATCATCCAATTAAATTGCTAAACGTGTATAGGCGATGTATGGGCATACATTTTATTTAATTAAATAGTTACTGGATAGAATATTACAATTTTTGTATTTATATCCGTCATCGAGAGGTGGGAAGGATGTACTGATTTTGTTAAAGCATTTGCAACATTTAAAAGGTAACTTTAGACGCCCTACAATACATATATACGTTCTTAATGCATCTTTGCATCAAATACCGCATCAGTCGAGCTAAGTCCGCCTGTCCGCTTGCAACGACCAAGAGGAAGTCTTAACTAATAGCAAAAGCTAAAGAAGTCTAGGTATCCATGTCCGGCAGTCTGTCCGCGAGTGTGTCTGTTTGGTAAATATTCCTTCAATCGGGAATGTTACAATATCGCCTTCAACCATTGGAAGTTATCGCAGGCAATCTGGTTTTGAAAATGAATCAAATCGGTCAAAAGACACGGCTATCAGATGGGAACACTTTTTTCTCAAAGTTAAAAAATCAGATTTCTTTGCCCATTTCTCATAAACTATAGCAGATACAACGATGAAAAGCTCCACACATAATTTATAAGTGATTCCATCGCGCTTGTACAAAAATGGGCTAAATCCGTCACACACAACTCAATATCACGGTATATAGAAATTTTATTTCTAATTTTTATTCCTTGTAAAAGTAATGGTACGAAACAGGCGGCCATAGCCGAATATTATTTTTTGACTAACTATTTATGTGATGAGTACAATAACATAAGGATCAAAATAGGAACAAGGAAAAAGCCTCTATCGCGCAACAGTTGTTCGTATAAAAGCTCTTTAAAATGAGACGCTAAGGGAAACGTTCGAAATTATGGTCCGATTCCAAAAGTTTTCAATAGATTTCTTCCTCGCGACAAAGCTATGCTGGCGTACCGATTTCATTAGAATGTCTCAAAGTTCCTGCCTGTAGGTCGGACACCAGAAAACAAGACACATCGGCGGACCGTCGGACAAGCTTAAATCTAGGAAGTAGCTCTATCTACCTCTAGATCTATTTCAATTTATTCTTGGTGTTGAATATATCCGTGCAAACTGTCCAACAAGTGCCATATCGCAATTACAATTACATGTAATCAAGAGAGCTATCATTTCTCTCTCTCTATCTCTCTCTCTCTATCTATCTACTTATCTATCTGTCTATCTTCCTGTTTTTTGTTTTGCCCTTTTTTTCTTTCTTAGAACAAGACCTATCATCCTTACCTAGCGAATTGTAATTCTTCTCAGTAAAAGAAAACGAGTCTATAGTAAAAAGTGATAGAGCGACCGAGAGCGAAATGAGATATACTCGCAATTATTCGGCTCAAGGAGAGACTTTTGCTATTTACATCATCTGATCAGCTTGAAACTCTGATTAGTTCGTTCTTCCTCAGGACAAAGTTACAAAAGACAGGACGGAATAGTGAAAATTAATCACGTTCGGATGCGCGCAAAATGTTTTTGTCATTAATGGAAGTTTCCATGCTATTGCTAAGTCATTATAAACGCTTTTATATTCGCAAACATCTTTCGCTTTCTTGATAGGCAAATCCCGTGATTTGAAGGTACGGATGCTTTCAAAATTTACAATCTTTGTTCAAGGATTTATACGAACTTTATTTGATATGTAGTTGCTCTTATCAAAATGTTTTTGTATGGAAATGTGTGCGAGTTTTTACGATATACAGCTAACTTCATTAAATGTTTATTTAATCATAGCGCTTTAGCAACAGTGTCAGTGTTTCGAAAATTGTTAATCAGAATTTAGGAATGCCTTTGGCATATTAAATATTTTATAATTACGGGGATTTTTTTTTATATTTTTAGATGGTTTTGCCTTTCATTCGAGTTGTTTTCCTAGCAGTTCTCTCTTCTTTAGTTTATTGTGCGTTCACACTGAGATTGATTTCGTCGATTTCGTTAAATCATTTCGCTTGAAATCAGTGACGTTTACCTTACATTCAAATCGTTAAATGAGTAATTGTTTTCGTCTTATAAACACATCGTTTTTGCTAATTTAAAAACATGTCATAAACAATGAAAGATAAAGAAAAATAAAAAAATTAAAAATAAGGAACTGCTAGGTTATGCTTCTGCTCTCCTATAAAATAATTATTCTCTTTTTTTTTTCTTTTTAATATGAACAATCATTTGAGTGGCTATACATGTGACACGCTGACGGTCAGAAAGAAGTAGGGAAAGAGAGAGAAAATAGCCGCAGTAGGGCGATGATATACTTTCCAAAACATTTCAAACTGCCAGAAAGACTCTTCGCAAATCTTGTCAAGTTAATATATTCATGATCAATATGAAAATTCTGTATTGATTTAAGTATTCCCATTTGTTGTTGTTGTATGTGTTATGTCTTTCCTGAAGGTTCTCCTCGGTTTTTTTGCGTATTACTCATAAGCTACGATACTAAAAATCTGTATGCTCTGTGGATAATCGTGCAGTACAAGTACAACCAATTGAAAAAAGTCGTCCACGCGCATCCCATATTATTAGGAATCGAGATTTGATTTTCTTCGAGCTTTTTGTACCGTACACCACTTGCGGAAACGACAATACTCAAAATAACTTGAGATAGATCCATCTTTTATTATACCGAGTTCAGATTGTCTGTCCGTCTGTGCACCGCGTTTCCAAGTGTTTAACCTACAGGCCGCCATTTTTGAGATCTTTTGATGGAATTTGGTATATTGGCATGTTTTAGTCCAAGGCTGAACGCTACTAGAAATCGTTCGGACTGAGTCACATTTTCGACCACTCCCCATAGAAAGCCCTATTTTGAAAAACCATATTATGAACAAGGGCATTAAACGAAGTAGTGTAGGGTATTTAATTAGGGTAATCGCATCCCACTAGAGCCGAATATAATTTCGCCGCTTGTGTGTTTTGCATTTTTGTCCATTGCTTACTAGCAGCACTTTCATTCCTTTTCTTGTTTTTGGATAGTTAGCAATGCTGCATTATCGACCACTAATTTGTTATGAAAAAGGAGAGGTAAACTCTGTTTTCTTGTTTTGTAAAACTGGATTTCAACTTGATTTCTCTGAAAGTGCGATTTCGCACTTGATTTTAATTCGTTTCTTTTTTCTTGATAAAATTTGTGATTTTTTACTTGATCACAGCTGAGATAAACCGAAATGCCCGAAATCCATGAAATCACCCTCAGTTATGAATAGAGGACATATGTAAGAGATATGCCATTATAAGTAGGTGCAGAGGTAAAAGTAGTTAAACTTTAAGTTCGGCTGGTAAAAGTAGTCAAACATTAAGTTTGCTTTACGAGAGTTTACGTGCATTGCTATACTACAGCTCTTTGCTACGTTTGATGAATGATGAGTGGCATATATAGGCATCAATGGTTCTCTTAGAGATAATTATTATTCCGCGTTGCAAATTCAATTAAGGAGAGAATTATTTGAACTAGAATTGAGGAATAATTCAATTGGTTTTTTCTGCAAAAACCTTGAGAGAGCATGTCAAGGATATTTATCTCTCAGGCAAAGAAAAGAAGAGAGAATTGATTGCATCAAAGTCGTCTTTCTTCGGATTTGCCTTTCATATAGTTCAGGAATTACTATATAATCGAATACGCAGAAGTTTGTAATTTCTAATGCACACACGTCACATTCAAGTTTATGTGAATGCTGAAAAGTTTTGCGTGACACATGATTGAAAAAAAAAAAAACGCCGATTATTTCGTTCTCAAGACACTCGGATTTTCCCATTGTCTTCAGAAAAATTCTAATGAAATAATTTCTAGGTAAGCAAATGTTGCTCTACTTTTAAGGTCAACGCTAAGATTAAGCGGTAAGTGAGGGTATTAACCGAAAGCGATTTCATTGATAATTTGCAGCGAATAAGTAATTAAAGGCAATAATTGAAATTTAATGCGAAATGTCAAACAAGTTTTTAATGAGAATTTCCAAGTGAAACAACATATGTGCGCTTAAATACAGTCAAGCACGTCTAAATAGCTCAGACCTTCCCATGAAAAGAAATACAAAGGTTTATTTACCGATTTATAAGCTTTGTTATGCTCTTATATTAACTAAAACCACTAAATATCCGACACTATCCTAGATGTAATACAAAGTATATGGATAGAAATGAAGCGGGCAGCCGAATAGACGGACAGATAACGTTAAACCGATAAGAAAATGACTTTGCATCGATCGGTATAGTAAAAGGGGAGTCTGTCTCAAGTCCTTGTGGGTATTCCATACATCCTTGTGCGGAAGATGCCCCTGTTTTCCATATCATGTACCGAATAATGAGCAATCCTGTTAGGCGTATATCTTTGCTCCGTTCATTTGTTTTTCGTCATTCGAGTCTTTATTGTAAAAAACTGATTATTCATTTATTATTCATAGTATTGGCAATCGCGAAAGATATTCATCTTTACCTCTCCAGCTCTACCCAAAAAACTCTGGTGTGTACAGTTGCGTGTAAGCTAAAGACAGACTTTTAAATAAGGAAATAAGAGTTTTATTTGGCTCCATACATTTCTACTGGCACTCTCTCTTAGCAATTGTGGAAACTCAACTCCATGCAAACAATAATAATAAAGTTGAACCACATCGGTTCACTCATATAAGTGAAGTCAGGTAAAGTACGCTTTTACATAGAAACAAGACAACACTTTTAGCATTTTTTGACGAGCACATCAGTAGAATTGTTTTGTTGAGATGGTCATGGAAACGATACTTTGGACTACTTTAAAAGAATATCAATATCTTGGAATAATTGAAATAGAAAAGTGCAAAAGTCCAATAAAAATATACTCAAAAATATGAAAATTCTTTGCACCTAAAGAAAAGAAGAACAAACTTTCCCAACTGACAAAAACTTTAGATAAACTAAATTATTGGTTAATCTAATAAAATATATTAAACGTTATAAAAAAAAAAAAATTAAAATAAGAAAAAAAAAAAAGATTTTTTGTGTTCCATATATATATGCTTGACTGTGTGCAATTACCTTGTCTGTAGCATTTATGTATCGCTGGTTGTATATCTATACATTCTGCTCTTCTTTTTACACGGTACTTATATTCCTTACAAATCCGTGCAAGAAAATAGAATAAAAAAATAGATGAGGCATATGGCAACGTTGGCTGTATGTTCCACAAGTTTAAAAAATCGTGTGAGATCAAAAAAATTCTGAATATTTTCCCTAAAAAGATGATAATGAAATTCTTTTTACATATTTATCAGACAAAGACCATTCAATTTTAATATGCGAAATAGATTAAAATTAGGGTGCAGTGAAAATTCAGTCGATAAGTCCAAATTTGAGATAGGAATCAACATCAATTTCCCAACTGTTTATCGCGTCTTCAAGAAAAGCGTGCACGTTTATCCCGAACTGGATCAAAAATGCTGCCATCAGTTATGTCAGATATGTCCAGTCCAACTGTCTGACAAGATTTGAATGAACAATTTCCTCCGTTATTAACAGTCTCTGTTAGTTTTTGTATTGTTATAAAGTCTATTGGTAGCACTTATTTTCTCAAGTTGCTGATATAATTCTCGATATCCAAGCTTCGGCGAGGCGTTGGTAAATTTAAAATTTAAAAGAGATTTGTTTATATTTCGGATTCGTGCTAGAATAAAAACTTCGTGTAAAAAAAGTGCAGGCATGAACAGTGTTATATGAAAACCGTGTAAAGAACGAGTCCTGTGTACTTACTTTTTCCGAAAATTGTTAGTCTGCAACGGCAAATTCCTTCTGAATATTCCCAAGAGTTGCAAAACCCGCGATTAATCTAACATATCACTATAATACCTTCGTTTAGCGATGAATACATAGTTTTAAATAATCATTAAACGCTAGTTAAACGTTTACTTTGTACTATGTGTAGCCGAGAATCCGATCATAAAAATTATCTAAATTAATGAAAAGATGAGAAAAAGAAAAGCTATAAAAAAATAATTTTCATCATTAAATAATTAGAGCTTTTTAAAAATAGCAGGTGTTTGTTAGCCTAAATTACACGGCATAAATATTGAGATAACTTAACGAGAGCTATGAAATAATATTGTATCCATAAAAATACAATAAGTTGTTGACGTTGAGAAGCTGTGAGATTCAATGCAGATATTCTCTGTTCCGTCAACTACAACAACAAATCTAGCTTATGTTTTTTTTTTTTTTTTTTTTTATTTATTTAAATACGCTCAGTACAATTTAAGTGGTATGTGCGCATCGAATTATCGAGCGAATGCGTGTTCGTCTATTAAGATATTATTCACGGAATTCCACTTTGACTATTAATTCTGATTTAATTACTCGAGTGCTTCGGGGGTATCGTTAACAGTTTACTAACTGCCTTGCTTTCGTTGAATATTTTATTAACAGTTAATGCATTTTTTTTTTTTCTTAGAAAATCCAATAGACAAAGTTTACGAAACAACACAAGCATATGAAAGTGAACGTGATTGCAGTTGCATTTCGAGATTTATTAAGCGCATACGTTCTACGGTTAAAAGTTATTTCACATCTCTTTCATTACGCCAAGTAATCTTGAACGATACGTACGCGGCTTTTAAGTGAGTTCCACTAAAATCTCATTGAAATCCTGTGACAACTTAAACAAACAAAAATCGCTTATTGTAGGAAATTTCATTTTACTGTTTCATGCGATAAGAGTGGATTTACAAAAAAAGGGATGATCAGGACTTTTGAATTTTTGAAAATTGTGTTGAGTAAATAATTTTTCTTCACGGATCAGTTAGCGGAAGTATGAGCATCTGATAAATTTTCTTCTTTTTTTGGTTCAAACAGGACACGCCACGAATTTATTGGCTGGACGAAAACCTAAGCACTTTCCTTTTTTGCGGGAATGCGCCTGTCGTCGGTTTTCAGATGGGATATATATTGTGGCAACTAAACGGGAATCGTAAACAAGGAGTTCAAAATTGCAAAAATGGATTACAAACAGTATAAATTTTAGAAATAAGTAAGTATATGTAACAAGCAAAAGGAGTTAATACATTTTTGTTTTGCGGCAAGGTCGATCAATAGGACTTTTCAACCCTTATCTTATTCCCACTACTTTTGGTAAAAGCATGTTAAGCTTCCGCGATTAAAAAAAGTGAAAAAAGTAAGGAAAAGGCAACGCCGACTACTAAGCACCATACACTACCTCGCTTAATAACATATCAAGTCTTATAGGTTGTTGCCATGTGTTGTGTTACTTTTTTTTGGATCTCTTATACAGAAGGCCCTTGAAAACGGAATTATTTGACCTAAAACAAGTCTCACGATTTTCAAACTTCAGGCTTTTGCCGCTAAATACGCACAAGCTGACCTAGCAAACGAACTGAAACGAAGATAAATCGCGTTAATGTTAAGTGAGACGCGATTGTGTACTCGCGGCTACCGATAAAGAGCATTCTTGAAACGGTATTTTGTGCGAATTGCAACAAGAGAGAAATGCTAAAGATGCATGTAGATATTAATTGAAAGAAAAAGCACAGACAGACCGTGCCCTGAGCTAACCTCTTTGATTGACGATTTTACTATTAGAGCAAAACCTTTTCTCTTCTTCATCGGAGATTGCGGAAAGGCTTGATTCAGTTCAACAAATCATTTCGGACTGTATTCGGAAATAAGGATTCTAAAAACGAGTTGATATTTCCAGGAGGCCTAATACTAAGAAATTGCCCCAGTTGTCATAATAGCATTTATTTTTCCTAGGAACACACAAACTTTCCACATTATACCAAAATATTCCTCTTTCCCTAATTTTTGTGGAGAAATATTACGAAATGCAAAATTTTTTATATAACGCCTCTCTTTAAATGGGGCTTTCCACGGGGAGTTCGACCTATTCCAATTCCAATAACTTTCGTCCCTGGTCCAAAGTATCTCGCTGCATCAAATTGCGTGAAGATATCTCGTAAGCTGTGACTTTTAGAATGAACGCAAAGATAGATAGCAGAAAAAAAGGCGGTCGTGCTTAAACCGATTTAGAAAGCGATTCTGAGCAGAGCCTTGCCTATAGTAAGAGTTCCAATAACTGAAGGAAGTAAAATATTAAAAATGATTGGATTAGTTGCTTATAATGTCTTATAATCGTCTATAACATCTTAACTCGTTTCAAGCTGCTTCCTATTATTAGGCATATGAGAAAACAAGTGATCACGTAATCGCATCCCAATTTCGTTCTAAAGTGTGCTTTTCTAATTAATTAATTGTTGAAGAAAAAGTTTTTTTCATTCAATTCAAATTATTTATAAATGTTTTGTTGTAGGTTTGTATGTAAGAACATTCGTTAATTTGGTTGCTGTATTAGCTGACACAATTATCAGCAACGGCAAGGTTCAACGCCTAGCTTTTCAATTTGAAAGTTAACGGTAAGTTGCTTTGCCTTAGACTCGCTATAGGGAATTTAATAAGTTTGTCAGATGTTTGAAACCGTATATCCTAAAGAGCCTATATACAGTTGGGCCTATACACAGTATTGGTGGCCATCTCTTTGTATCTGTCTCACTATCTGACTTTCTCCCTCGCGAAACCGTGATTACGGACTAAAAATGTCTCTTGGAAGGTAAACCCAATTTTGTACGTTTCTAGTAACATCTTTATTGAGTTAAATTCCAAAAGCAGCTGCTAGCTCAGCACAAAATTCTTTACTTTTTCTCCTTGTTAAACTTACAATGTTTTTCGCTGCTTTGAGCTTCAGTTTCAACTTCTTCAAACTTCTCTTATAAAGAATCCCCGGATTTGCCAAAAATGCTTGAAAGGTAGCGAAGTATCCAAGCACGCTTTTTAGTTTGTGGAGTTAACTACAAAGTGCTGCTAAATGGAAAAAAGTGATTTCAAAGTCATTTTATATTAATATTAACTTATTACCGCTATTTAGTTCAGGGAAGGGAAGGAGGGCGTATTATCAATTTTGTTAATACATTTGAAACAGACAGAAGGACGCTTCAGAGGCCCCGTAAAATATTAAACAGACCTGTCCGTCCGTCTCCCTGCGAAATGGCTGAGCTAAACATTTTACAGCACACAAAAGTGAACTAATTAGCTCTAAACACAGACACATTGGAAGCTCTTCAAAGCCTATTGGTATTGAAAATGGCTTGAATCGGTCGAAGGACACCTTTACAATCCTAGATAAACTAAGTGGTTTTTACTCATTAGCCATTAAGTACAATAGACAGACGATAGAAATGTTTTTGTATATTTTACAAAAATGGAATAAAAATAAATCACGCCCACCCTATGTTATAGAGTATGAGAATTTAACTTTTCTGCCTTTTCGTTAGTCTCTTTTTAGAACAAATATGGTGAGTGTAAAAGATAAGGTCACTGCCGCATAAAACTTTTGCTTAATTTGTTCTCCTGTCAGCATGGGAACTTCTAATCCATGTCTCTATGTAACCAATTATGCTGAGATTTTGCGCAAGAAAAATGTATTTCGTTAATTAAAATGCGATTGAAACTTTTATGCAATTTAATAAGAAATGCTATAAGGCTTTGTTTTATCACTTTTCGTTTTTATTACTTCATATGCCGGACAATAGTCAGTTAGAGTTTACTTCACCAAAATTTCATAAGATTGAAGACTTATTGCTCCGCCGTTGAAGGCAATATCCAAGCATCGATAAGGTGGACAAATTTTGCCAGGTATTACAGCGCCTCTGTAAAACGAACGTCCGATATATACGGGCTGATTGTTACCAAGACGATCAACTTGAACGGCACCCGCTGGCAAACCGCTAGTTGAAGTCACCCACCGATAATTATCACCGGTTAATATTTCGAAATTTTGTTTAACAATTTCTTGTCCATTATAAGTGATAACGGCCGCAGAACGAGTTGGTGAATATTCGCCGGGTATTAGTTTGCCATTGTGAAAAGCACGGCAAACATAAATTGGTGACATAAAGAGATGACCGCTTAATACGGCATTTTTCGGTAACGGAGTGAAAGGAGTCGAAATGACCCACTTGTCCGGAGAAGAAGGGCGATTAAATGAATTTGTTAAATATGTTTGTTGTGGATAAACAGGCGAGGGGAGCAAAGGAGGCGCAGTCGCTGAATCGTAGTTGCACGGTTTATTAAAATTTATCGAAGGCGAAGGCGAAGGCGTAGGTTGTGGTGTTTTCAGACTACAATGTTCGATAGTTCGACAAATTTCTCTCTCTTCATTTTCCACTAACACCTCATAATTTTCCAAACGTCTTTCAGAACCCTTGTAGGGTATAAACAGAGCGCGGTGTATTTTTGATATTTTACCGACAATCAAAGAATTTTCAAAATATCCACGACCCACGTAAAAGCGTTGATTAGAACCTGCATCGCTGCACAAAACAGCGTTTGTCGGTATTTGATGATTGCGGCAGCTCAGCCACACCAGATGACGACCGCACAATATATCTACGTCAACTTTGACTATCTCTTGACCCCGATGGGAGATAAAGTTTGAAAGCTTCGCAGGCACAATATTAGCCACTAGCATTTTCCCGTCATGCTTAGCCCGGCCTACATAGATAGGGCAACCGTCAGAGTCGTTGCCACCCATTACCGCGTCATGAGGTCGTACTTCATTATGTGCAAATCGTTGCCATCTGTAACCTAGAACTCAAAGTTTTGAAATAGAGAAAAAAGGTTGAAAATTTTTATAAAGCAAGGACAAACCTGTAGTTTCCTCTGTTTTTATCGCAGGATACAAGGACTTTGTAACTACTTCGTTCGAGTTTATCGAATTGCTGACTAAAATCTCATAATGATCTAAATCTCGTTCTTTGCCATTGAAAGTTATTTGCACGCAACGCAACGACGGCAACACCTTACCCACTACCATGGCGTTACTATATTGAGCCCGACCTATCAATATTGGTTCACCTGTTTGTTGCGAAATACCCGCGCTCACAACATTGTGAGGTAATTGATGATCAACTACGTTCTGCCAGAAATAGTCATTTGATCCAATCAAAAGTTCGCAATAATCATAAGGGTACTCAACGCCATCACAGGACACGAAAGCCTTACGTTGATTAAGTAAAACTTTAGCAGGCAAATGTTGACCTTTGTGGAAACAGCGACCCACATAAATAGCGGAACCGTTCGCATCAAAACCGCCCACTACAACATTTTGAGGTATTTCGGCCCCAGATAAGTTAAAAGGCAGCCAATTATTGGCTGCAAATAAATGAAAATAGAAACAACGTTTGCAGAAGGAGAAACAGTAGAACGTAGTTGGTTTTCTTCATTGCTTACTCATTCTCGTGCTGTTGTTATTTCGAAAAATCTCTTTCACTTTAATACCTAATCCCTGAGCAGTTATATAGCGTTTGATTTCTTAGAAATTCTTTTTCAAATCAATCAACTTTACGAAGAAAACCTATTCTTTTATTCTTCAGCGCTAAAGAATGACTGCAAAAAGGCTAGACTATCTTGCGAAAATTATGACTATAGATAAGCAATGATAACGAGGTGAGTAACGTGGCTCAGCCAATGATTCATTAACAGAGTTGCAGTTATATTATTTTTAATATGCGAGAAATCATACGCTAATTGTGCCGAACGCTTTGATGTCCGCTAACTGCAATAGTTTTTCTCCTTTGCTTTTGTTTATTGCCAGTGTTTTTATGAACTATTTATTTTGATAACGCTTTTCCATCGGTCTGTTGTGGTGAATATTTGCAACACACTTATCCTCCTATATCTACAACTCCTTATAATAGCTAGAACTCCTCATAATAGCTTCGATTCAGATAACATACGAAAATTAACGCTTTGATAAGCTCCCACGTTGTATGGCCGTGGGGGGAATGGGGTAGTGGCAATCGTATCCATCTTCATATTTAATCCATAACAAAAAATATTCAGTTTCCGTTCTCTACTTGAGTTTCTCGCAATTTTAAGAATTCTAATAACAGAAGGAAGTCCGTACTTCCCTATTTAGCTCAAGATTACCTGGACACAAAGTTAGGTGACTAGTGTTCCAATATAATTAGGGAATGGGAAAGAGTATAGAGTGTATCTGCAACCCTTAATGTAATCGATCTACATATCCACAGATATTGTGGCTATATTTCACGCATACATTTGCGTGCTTTTTATATCTGCCGTTACAAGATGGAGTAATACTAGTTTCATTCTTTCGTTTGTATCATAAGAAAATTCGTACCAAACCTTTTTTGATTGAATTAAGAATTTTAGTGTATTCAAACCTGCTCGTTTGCGCGTCTTCCGGTCCGCTCTCGTTTGTTGATCTGTTCAAAATTCTAAGAATGGTTGAGATCCGCCCATTATTAATCGCATTATTTACAAAAAATTAAATTTACACTTCACAAGGGAGTAAAAATTGAGGTTAGCTACAAACTTGGTTGATAACCACAGGTGAAGTTTGAAAGTGAATGAAATTCACCCACAAGCTTGCCTACAGTAAGCAAAAGCCGGAATTTTACAATTTATAAAACCAATATAGAAAATTGATGGAACATATATATGGAAAACTTTACTGTATGTCCACAAATCAAATTTTAGAATGGAAGTCGATTTCCGCCTGCAACCCTGCCCACATTAAGCAGAAGACGGAAAATTATAGTTTATATGGTGCATAGGTACATATTGAAATAGAAAGAGATGAAGTCCGAGATATATATTCTCAATTGATGGCTGTGCAGTCATACAGTAAGCTTGAAAATCGAGCTGATCCGTTCATCCACATCTACTCTGATCGTAGGAAGAAAAGTGAAATTTGCTATCAATCATGACTGCGTAAATTAAGGTGGAAACCTAAATCTTGGTGTATAAATTTTTACTGTTACTTGCTGCTCGCAGATCATGCTTAAAGATAGTGGTGACTCATCCATATCCCTAAGTCCATAGCAAACAAGCAGCTGTTTTATAACTCACATATTAATCTTTAATTCTGCACAGATCTTAGCAGAAAGCAGCTACAATTTAAGAAAATTGAGAAAAGAGACCTGATTCTACTACAAACAGGCCCATAAACGATAAGGGTCTGTAGAAAGCAATTTAACGGCCAACATAAATATTTTTTAGGGCGCAAGATATAAAGCTGTATTGATCGACAACCACGCCCAGAGTTAATAAAATAAATAAAATCGCACCGCTGGGTATCCAAAGTTTGGCTTAAACTGAATGCAACACATTTTTACTTTCTTTTACTTCGTTTCCAACGACAAGCGAATGTAAAGAAAAGGAGGCTAAATAAGCTGATAAGCAATAAATAACAATAGTTACAGATTTTAAAGTACAAAGTTTACTTAAATGAAATAATATCTATTTCTCCTCCTCTTCCTCCTCCTTTTGCTGGCTCGATATCCACAACTACAGGGGGATTTGTATGGTCACCATTGCAAAGATGCCAGCAAGTGTAACATAAAGCCAAACCACCCTCGTAAATGTAAAATTTTCACCAATTGCTTCAACCCTTGCATTGGATTACCGGTTTCGTAATCTTCTGATGAGTTCGCTATCTATCTTGTGTTATAGGCAGGTTTTGTAATATTGTGCGACAGTGGGAAGCATTATCTTCGATGTTACGAACACGCAAAGCTCTTCGTCATCTTCAAGTCGAACAAACCTAATTTTAGTTCTTGCATTCCCTTTACAGACAAGAATGACACTTTCACTATTCCATAGGAACATCCCGCTGAAGTAAGCACTAGTAAGCTTGACTTTATAAGCTTAATGTACGAAGAATTAAATTAAAAAATTGTCAAAAGTGTAACAACACTTGTTATATTCTTCGCATGAAGCTCACAAAATTGCACCAGCATGCTCCAACCCAAGATGGATCCAATATTTTTTGAACAGAAAGAACGGAATACGTTCAGTAAAAAGAATATTGAGGGCTTCGAATTTAGAGACATCGCAGATGAACATCCACTTTGTGGGTAATCTTACGGATTAAAGCCACCTTATTATCGTGTATGGTTTCGAGTTTTCTTGAGACAATACGTACAAATTTGAGGATCGACTTAAAACCCCAAGCAAATGTCTCGCCGTAATAGTCGTACAAGATCACATTTTCTTGTGCAGAAAGGGGAAATATTCGCTTTGTAATAAATGCAAGCGAATTCACATGAGCTGATTTTGTTAACCTTCAACACCAAACTAACAAAAGTTGTAAGAAAAACATTGAGAGTGATTTGGTCCTTCCAAAGAACGTTTTTGAGGATCTAATTGAACCTCTAAAGCAAATTCGCGTGAGATATAAAGCTTGGCGATATTAGTAGAGATATTAGTAGAGCTTCTATCGCGAATGTAAAATTCTGAGTTGAAGCTTGTTGCTCGTCTTCTAGACAAATTTTTGAAAAGTTTACCTACAGTGGCACAATAATTTATTTATTTTTTTTCAATTCGCTCTATTTATACGCGATTAGTTTAACATATAGCAATGGTATAGGTATCAAGAGACACGACTAGATCCATTAATGAGATTAAAAAAAATCATTAATTTTATATAACACAAATATATCGACATATACTTAGATAATAATAAAATAAAAATTACTTAATAGAAATATTATAATTACATTTTAATTAACTATTAAAATATAATAATCAAAATTTCAAAAAAATTTGCAATTTATTAAAATCTTATATCTCAGATAAAGCTATATATTATTAGATTTTTTTAATGCATTAACAAAAAAAATTTAAATACATTAATTTATTAAATTAAGCGTTAATTTAAACACATTTTAAATAATTTTTCAAAATTAATAATTATATATACTAATTAGCCATTTATTTTATTAAACCCTTTTATCTCGGATTAATTAATTAATTAATTTAAAATTTAATTGCATAAAATGAATTTAATGAATCGATAATTTTACGTACAAAAAAATTCTATATAATTAAATTAGTTTAAAAAATTAATATCCGTTCGATCAGCTTAATCAAGAAAGCCACCGGTTCGGATAATTCTATCTAACGAGACAGATAGAATTACGTAAGATACAACTATAAACGTTCATGTAGAGAATCCCTCTTACGCACCCTGTTTTTGATATATAAAATGTTATCTCTTTTGTTACCTTTTCCATAGAACTTTTTCTACTTTTCTTATCTCACCAGGTATTTAGATAAATGTACTTAACTGGAATTGATAGCAATTATCAGTTCTTTTTTCTTTCTAATAATTTCATAGCTTCTTTTTGATAATCACAAATTTATATAAAATAGTTTGTGTTCAGAATTTCAAGTCAAAAGTCGTACGCAGTAATTAAACGTAACTAAATTTAATTTTTTTTTCAATTTTTGTTTTACTTATATAAAAAAAGTTAACCAGAAAATCAAAATATTATTATGGGTAAGAGCAGTCAGTCAGTCATTAACGTTAGCTTAAGTAAAAGTTTTCATTTCATTAAGGGTTTCATATATCTGTCTCTTTCTTACATGCGCATAGTAAAGAGTGCTTTGCCATATAATTAATAAAAAAAACTTTCGTGTGATGCGAATTTCTTAAATAAAAAAGTTTTAATTAAACGGTCCTTATACACGCTAACCCCACATTGATGGGCTGAAACATTTTAATGCTTGTTTAGCTTGAAAAGGCTGAAGAAACCATTAAAAACCCTACATCTCTCCCTAATTGTTCATATCAAGACTATTAAAAATAAGGCTTTATATGGGATATGGTCGAAAAATTCGTTCGATTCATACCATTTGGGCCGAAACTCGTCAGCCTAATTAATTTCGTGAAAATACTCGTAAAATTACAGCCTGTTGCTTGAACAGAACAAACACGACCGCCCGATAGATAAACGGACAGAGGGCCAGACAACGTTAAATCGATTCACAAAGGGATTCTGAATCGATCAGTATAGTAAAATACGGGCCACATCAAGTTCTTGTGATTGTTTGCATGCATCCTTAAGCACAAGCTTAATATACTGCACTTGTACCACACGTAGTGGAGAATAAAATGTGTGATGATCCAGCAGATATTCAGAAAATTTTACTCTGCTTTACAGTTTAAAGAAATGGCAATGAATTAAATAAAAATGCTTTCAAGGGAAAGTAAATTATTTTCGTTTGAAGACGAATTTCGAGTAACTTTTGGTTGTGTTATGTAATTCGGAAAGAGAATCAATTGGAATTTAATTTGCGAATTTTTATAAACTGCTAGCAATAAATTCGATAAACGTTTGTCTTCTCAGTTCTGTGGCAGTCACTTAAATGCCTTTTAGACTGGTATCCCACAACTTTATGATCAAACAATAATTCGGTTAATGAGTGCGAAATAAGCTCAGATTAATTGAATTCTTGAAAATATTAGTTGCACAGGAGATTACAATTTAAGCGAGAGTCACACTAAAAGAAATGAGTTGGGAAACTCTTCCTATATAAATGACGAAATTATTGATATCATTTTATTTAGCCTAACACTTCTTTCTTTTCTATATGATAAACTATTCATTGCGATAAGACGATTGAATGACCATTCGATTCCAATAATAAGAAACGTTTTAAGCGTTCTATTAATGTAAACACATTGGCTGACTGAAAAGTTTCCGGCCTTAGTTTCCATAGTGACTTTAGCATTTGATTTATATTATACATGGTGTGCGTATGCTCGCAGGAGTATGCTGGACGGGGCAGATCTTTTTTTTTAAAAGGATTCATAGGAGGCACTGTCAGATAAGGAATAGTCAAAAACTGCGAAGTAAAGGTGTGATACCGCTCCCATTTCATTGGCCGTACTGTAAATTACATCGATTACATTTACATCATTATCGCGACAGTCTCTTGCTTGCCATAATTTTGTGTACGAGGTATACAGTAAGAGGTAATCTGCTTGTTAGCCGCGCGATTGGTTTATCTTTTTCCTTGCTTTTTTTTATTCATAGTACTTACATTCACATATGTATTAATACCATTTTTTTTACTCACACAATTTCTATACCCTCTTGCGGTACGAGGCGGGGCTGTATTCCACACCCAGAAGGATTTGAGATAGATATGGTCTTTCATTTACCGACCGATTCAGAATTACTTTCTTTAAGGTAATTTAATCATGTCTGTCCGCCAGGTCACAATTTTTAAGATATTTTGATGAAATTTGTTACACTGACAAAAATTTGTTTTAATATTTCTCTGCTTAATGCGATTTTGATGAAGCCATCACTTGATTTAGTCGGATTTTAGTTAACTGAGGGGAAAGACTTGCTATCTTCTATTTATTTTTGAAGCATTTGTTTAGAGGAACATCAAACTATTAAATGGACCTAAATAAAATGTTGTTTGGCGCAATTAAAATGTATTTTTCATTCAGCTAGTCGGATGAAGAAATGCCTTTAGATATCGAGCGATAGAGCACCAATGGTTCCGAGAGATCGGCTGAGTGTAGTATGAAGAACGTATAACTCAGGAATTAAATCAAAAAAAATCTCCGGGTAACGCAGAATGCTGGTTTAATTTTGCCATTACGTTAGTTTACAGTTGTACAATCGTTGTTCAATACAAAATAATTCACTTCACTTTTTTGTCAATCAGTTTACGAAGTTGTGATGAAATTTTTTGTTAGTTAGAAGAAAAATTGAAAAGTCATAATAATTTTTAATAAATCCTTTAAATTCATCAAATGATTCGGGAATCGCCATACATCACAGACGCGGTGTCTGAAGTAGGGCATGAATACGCAAAAGGTAATGAGGTTATATAAAATGCTACCGATTTATAAATACTTATATAAAATGAAAGCCGTCACCTTTGAAAGAGGGTGGTCAGTTTATGTATACCAAAGAGTTGATGGTAGTCTTATTGACATCTTATAATCTTCTCATATGACATTTTCATTGCTCTCATTCATGATAGCGCGGGTTCTCCTACAAAACGGCCTAAGAAAGAATTTTTCAGATAGCTGTAAGTCGCTATAGCAAAACTTCATTTTCGTAAAGGTAATTGTGGGCTGAATATAAAACACAAAATTTAGTAGCAAAGTTAAGTTCTAATGTGCTTTTGGTACAGTTACTGGGCTGACCTATATTTCCGCCTTAGAAGATTCTTATGATTAATCGATGACTCCCCACTTTTTGTGCATATCAAGAGTTCTAAATAAATTTAGGAAAATTTTAGGGAAATGTCCGAGAATTAAATCAAGTCCGAGAACTAAACAGACGAAAATTCAAAAGAAAGACGGACTCACCGCTAAATCTATTCCAGATGAAAAAGGATCAACCCGTGAAATATTATGAGACGTGTTTCGTTAAAGCCGCCACTGGCGATTAAGTGACCCTGCCCGCGGTCTAGGGACATTATTATTTTTAATTCGTTCACGATTAGAATATTTGTCCTCTCGATTGATTTCTAGTGAAATGAATTGTATGTGCACTTCAAAATTTTTTGGTTTTTTGCAAAAAAAATCCATTTCAAGAATGCTACAAAAGTTTAGATAAAACAAAACATGACTCTTTGCATTAGTCATAACTTATCATTAATGAAAGTCGTGTAAGGCTACTTATGGCTAAGAAGCTATGTTTTTCGTTGTTTAATTATTTCGTACCCCTATGATAAGAATAAAGTCACAAGATCTGGTTAAAGTTCGTTAACATTTTTAACTTCATTTAAACTCAGGTATATAAATGCAACATATCTTAAAATGTACGCACAATATGGTAACACATACATCACGACGCAAAGGATTCTATATGTCTTGCTGCTGCGTTTATAGGGCGAAGTTCGCATTGGTTTTTATGCAACACTGGGATAAGGAATTCAACTATCCCTCTGCTAGCAAGTGTCTATTTACCTCCCTTTTTCAGCCCTGTATTTGTAAGGTCACCCATTTACAGCTCGTACAACGATATATTGGGAGTCCATACAACAATAATATTTATTTTTTCTCTTCGTGGTCTTCGTAGTTTTGGCGAAAGCTACAACTTTTGCTCGCATTTTCTTCCCTTCCGTATCTATAAGCGGATCGCGACCATTCCTGCGTTTGAATTTTTATACATATATATATTTTTTTTAGTATGACTAAACAATGAGGTAATATTCCCGATACGTGGAACACGGTGAAGGTCAAAGAGAAGTGAGGAACGAGAAGGAGATAGGCAATTCGCAGCAGTTCAGTGGGTATTTGCCACGTCGATAAGCGGTATGCTTTTACACATTGAGCGACCAAAGTAAAGTCTACCATACTTAAATTTAAACCCGCGATATAATATTTCTTTCAAATTTTTGATCTCTTACATTTTTGGTACGGATATCGCAGACCCATAGTCATACGTTATAGTTGATCGTTGTTAGAACATTGGTAAATGAGGCCAAGCCCCAAGTTGTTTGAGCTGCTTTGCAAAGATCTCTTCAATGCATTCTTTCGGAAAAAATTTAAATTGTATCGAAACAGACATTCTATTACCATGTCCCAAAAGTAAGACCAATGCATTATTCGAAGCTTATTTCGCCGCCTTGACAGTAATTTTAAATGTCAGTTAATTCTCCGAGTTAACAGTTTGGCCGGGCGCAACAAATTCAGAGCGCACAACGATGGATGATATTGGCTGGATTGATCGGTTGCTTCTAGATCTTATACTTCGATCGAATTCTCATCTCCTATAGTGATGCGTTTCATAACATCCTAATAGTATGAAATCATTGTTTCGTAGACATAATCAAAATCGAAAAGAATACTTTTTGTGTCGGACAAAAGCAGTCGCAACTAAAACACTAATGACGCAGATACCTGGCACAGTGCTTCCAATTTAGAAAAAATATTTCTGACATTCGAATATAGGTCTTACTTTTTGGGCACGATATTAATATTCTGTAAAAATGCAATATAGTTTTAAGCTTTTTAATAATTTATCGATAAACCGATATAAAATATCTTGAGGCTTGAACTGTTTCTCGCAGAATGCTTTCACACTTTCGTCGTCATTTTAAATTAGATTGCCTTCTTCAACTTTTCAGTTTAAGTCTTATGGGTAGTTAGGAGAAGAGGAATAAGTCCCCGCTGTAATCGGATCCAAATCATAGGTCATCCTCGGCCACCTTTCGTTATTAGCTCAACCTGCATGTAAATACGATCGATGTCTGGTCTCTCTTCGGGATCCACTCTTATGTTAATATGATTGTTGGTCAGAATATTGGCTACTACTTCCTTTCCGATAGGCCGACAAGGGAATAACCGACAGACGTTTCACTTTCTCAATGGCCTCATCATCCCATCAATGTCAATTTATGATAATTGCAGTTCTCCTACAAACGTAAATAATTTATATGCAAAAACGAAAGTTGGGATATATCGATATAAGTCTGCTCTCGTACGAGCGTACCATCTTTGCAAACAAATAGCAAAATCTTATGCATGTTTGTGTATTTACATAGTTGCGTGTATAAATATTTACTTTAATGAATTATAGAAAATAAAAACAAAAAAAAAGTATTTAACTTTCTATTAAAAAAACGCAAAAAAATGTTACGCTGAAATGTCATTCGATATTTACATATATGTATATATATATATATATATATATAAGTGGTGTGTGAACTTGTTCAACCACTAAGAACCTTTACTCCTCTTATTTGTTGTTCATTCATCTTTCATTCACTCTATCCCTCCCCTTCTCTTAATTTCACCATTTCTCGCTTAATCAACTTTTTTTCCTATTGTTTATTTTCAAACCTATTTTTATAAAAATATCAAAAAAACGAAAAAACAATGTTGTTTCTGCAACAATGAAAATTTAGAGCATACTTGGGTTTCGACTAACGTCTATGAGAATTTACCCCAATTTGCAATACACGCTGGCCACGACGTTGATGGTGACGCTATTTATGTAGGCAGAGCTCATCACAATGGCGAAATGTTGCCTGCTAAAGTGCTACCGAACAAAAAAACGGCTTACGTTGCCTGGGGCGGTGCAGAGCATGTAAAACATGATGTGGAAATATTGACAGGACATCATTACGGTAAGCGTATGTGTAACGAAAACACTGCGAAAAGTTTTTAAATTCTATTTGTTATTCTTCAGTTTGGGTACCAGCCAGTGGGGGAAGTGTCCCACCTAATGCTGTAAGTGTAGGTCATACAGGCGACGGTGAACCGCTGTACGTGGGTCGTGCCGATTGGTGCGGAAGTTTGACTCCAGGCAAAATTCAACCTTCACATGGCTGCTTGTATATTCCTTTCGGCGGCGGAGAGCATAGGATAGAGCAGTACGAAGTCTTAACACAACCAGAAACTTGGGTTTCCTCTTCGGGCAATAACATTATACCGGGCACTGTTTTTGCTGGTAATGATACTGATGGTGATGAAATCTATGTTGGTCGTGCATATCATGAGGGAGATTTACTGCCCGCTAAGGTTATACCAAGTAAAGGTTGCGCTTATGTTTCACACGGTGGCCAGGAACATACAAAATATGATTTTGAATTATTGGCCGGTTATGGTTATGGTTGGGTACCCGATTGTAATGGCAGTGTACCGGTCGGCTCTGTCATGTGCGGCCGTACGGCTGATGGGGAACCCTTATATATCGGTCGTGGTCATTGGGGGGGCAGCTTAACTCCCGGTAAAGTTCATCCATCACATAGCTGCCTTTACATACCATTCGGTGGGCAAGAAGTGCGTATACAAAATTATGAAGTTTTAGTTAGATCTTGAACTAAGTTTTTCCTATAATAAATATTTTAAAGGTATCTTCATGAACAATGTATTAAGAATTTTAATAAATTTTTTTTTTTTAATAAAATGAGTAAACGAATAAAAACACTACAATGTAGTTAGTCCCATAACGTCTTTTTCAAAATAACGCATTTTATGGGAAAGTGATCCGGTCCGAATCATTTTCAACCGCGTTCGTCCTTCACGTCAGGGTACCAATTGTTATCAAAATATACTATACAATATGCGGCCTGTACGTCGCAGACATAAAGGCAGCGATCGTTAGTCAACGGTAACGAGTGTTTAGTAACGAGTGATCCAACGGCGATGGGTTGCGACTTTAAGCTTAAACTTTGAGCTATCATGGCCGATGTAGACTTAATAGGACATAGTGTAAGTATTATAAGATTTGGCTCAGAGATTTGAGCTATCGGACCTTATTGTGAAAGAGGTCCGCAGAGTCTTCTTGGCGTGGTCGCAACCAGTTCTTGATGGCTTTTTCTAATTAGAGCATTGCATGGATAGTATTTGCGAGGATCATTCGATCGCACCGCACCCTCTTTCAACAACATTCGCAAATCAAATATCATTCACATTCAAATATTTCGAAAGTCCTAGGACGGAAGAATGATTAAAGTTAATCATTTTAACTCGTGTATCAACTCTTGTAATAGAAGAAAGTTTGTCTGAAGTGCTTCCGTGTCTTACATGCACTTGCTCAGACTTAATGGTAGTTAAAAGCGAGTTCCGCAACAATTTCCCCAAGAATATATAATTTTAGAATCGCATATCTTGGCGACAGCAGCTCTATCTATTGGTCTTTCTTTAATAAAAAAAAAGTAAGAACATTATAGTCGGACAAGATCACCTCGCCCAGTAGAGTTGTTCATTCGTTTTGGTAATAGCACCATGAGACTTACGCATTAATTTCAGGCAAAGGCATGCTTTTCAGGAAAGCCCGCAGATTGGATGCCCAACGCATCACATTGGACGCATAATATTCGAGCAAACATTAGTCAGACAGATAGAAAGACAAAAGCGACGGACAGGTAAGCAGGCGAGAGAGGGACAGACAAGCTTAGCTCGATACCGAAAATGATGCTGAATCAATATGTATTATAAAGATGGGCCTATCTTAAGCTGTGCTGGGTCTTATATACGTCCACACAAACTTAATGTACAAGTGGCATTGGGTAATAAAAAAAAATATGACATTTGATAACTGTCTTTAACTAAACATATTGTAAATATTGCACAATTTTATTGTAATAAAAAAATGTGTTTAAAAACTAAGAACAGAAAGCCATGAAATTTCTTTTTAATTCTAATAAGTTATATCACAAGTAGCTTATGGTAAATATTTTTTTTTTGTTTATTGCTCTTTTTCCCTCCTGCAGCTGTTGATAATCAAAAATTTAAGGACATGCTTTAAAACTTCGTCTCTGTGTTCCTGACACTCGTGGCTTTTTTCGAAACAATCCTTATTGGAGGAAACAATTTCATCAAAGATTTTACTTAGCCAGCCTGATTTTATTTTCTCAGTCTTGAACTTATCGAAATATATTTTATATATTTCTCGCCATACATTCAATAGCTCTTCCGTGGACTCATCTTCCTTATCAATAACATCCCGACACTTTGTACAATGATCTTTACTTTGAACGTATTTTTCAAGTACACATCTAGTGAAAAAGTACATAGCTGCTTCTTCTTCTTTCTTCGTCTGATTAATTTTGGGAATTAGATGAGAAACATCACAGCCCATATAATAGTTTTCCGATTTAATTTCATCTATACAATTACCTATATAAACTTCGTCGTCCTCTTCAAGCTTGCGACAAACTATTTTCCATGCCACTAGATTAGAAAGCAATTTTTTAACTTCATACGCGGTTTTAGATGTTCCGTACACTTTTAAACTTTTCGTGGTAGAAGCCTTCAAGGCAAGTTTCCCTAAATCCAATCGCAAGTTCTCATTTTCTTCTCCTTTAACGAACAAGTCTTTGCTTAACTTAATTACTGGTTTTATTGTTGTAATTAAGTGTGTTTTACAACTTACGTGCCCTGATTTCACTTCTATTTTTTTTAGGAATGACGTACATTTTAATAATTCTTCCTTTCTTTTCATAAAATTATGTTTGTTGATTGTGTTGGCATTTGTATACAACAGGACATTGAATTCGCCCGGAAGTTGATACATTATCTCTACGAATTTTTATGTCCTTGCAGCGGTCGGCTTCTTTTTATTGTCCGACCAATCTAAATTTAAAGCAAATCGCATAGCAGCAGCCATAGAAGCGCTGAACACATCAGCGGCACATAAGTGCTCTCTGTAATGGCCGGCATACCAAGAAGGCTCATAATGCTTTGCCGTTAGCTGTGGACATATTTTAAATGTTTCACTATCCTTTTCTCTTTCATGAACACTTTCCAAAAACTCATAACTGAGACCGCGAACGTTTTTTTTTTGAAGATTTAAATACATATTTTTCAATAGATGACTGAAATCTATGAATAATGGTGGTACGCCACCAGGTAAATGGGATTTACTTATGTTCTTAACTGCGCTAACGTTTACCGGCTCTCCGTCACAAACAATTGCCTTAATATCTAATCCCAATGTTCGACCAAATCTAACATTTTTTGATATTAAGTCAGTTAATTTTTTGGCCTTTATATTACCGACGCAATAATAACTTAACAGTAACTTGAAATTGCCGAAAAGACTTCTGGCCATGAAGCATATTATATCAGAAGCAGTTGTAGGCTCTTTTGCGTCATCGCCGAAATCTACAAAACATCATCGTCTTCGTTGTAAATCAAACTCTGATGAATCCGCACTTTGTCGAAGTGCAGAGAGCAAGTTTTTTCTTCTTTCGGCATTCCATCTAATCGATCTTTTAATTGCTCAAATACATTTACATTAGTATGTACTCTAGCGTTAAATGTTTGAACTGGAAGACGGCAGTTGACATTTTATTCATTTTCTGATGCGGTGATGGGAAGATTAAATTTTAATTTTTTATTCATAAATTCATACAGTTTCGGACTTGAGATGTGTATCTGTTGAGAAATGTATTTCTCAGCATCGCTAAAATTATCCTTTTTTACACAAATCATTTTCCTAAAATGAATAGCTTCGCTACTATCCTCGGCGCACACCGAATATTCTTCGTTTAACGGTTTTTTTAATTCGTACATCTTCGCCAGATACATAGGCTCCAATTCAGTCTTGAAATCATCATTATTTTCAAGTTTAATTTCGTCGACCATCCTTTTAGTAATATTTTTATCAAGTTTCACATATTTTACGTTGTTGTTGTTTAAAATATATACAATAAGCAGTAACTAATAGTTAAAAATGTACAAGTATTTAAAAATCAGTGAATTTTTATATTTTCTTCTTCGCCGCTAAGGAATGACTAATAACGAAAGTCTCTAACGCGTGAATAGAGATAAGCAGAATTAATTCAGCGCAAAAACACTTGCAATTTCGTAATTAATTTAACCGTGTGTACATTGCCGCTCCTAAGCTCAGTGCAGTTTCATGCACATATTCTGAATTGGAAGCAAAATCGTGTCTATCATTATTATTAACTAGCAAGCCAGCGATCGATCGGGATCGAATCGACGCTACCCTAAAATGGACTAAAAAAAAGCTAAAGCACTAAATTTTCACGCTCCATTATGTTGGATGGACGAGGCTGATTTTTTCTATGAATTTTTTTTTTTATTTGAAGTCGACAGCTTCATTTTGCGGCCAGAAGAGTGCTTATAACAGACATTGCACAGATGGACGGACGCACATATTTAAATCGATTCAGAATTTGATGCTGATCAAGAATATACACGCTTTGCAGGGTCGCTGAAGCTTTGCAAACGTTTTGACAAAGTGAATATAGCCCCCATCCTTGGGTGTTGGCGAAAAATAACTATTTGAGTGCTGTGCACGCAAAACGGGTTATACGATTTTTATAGTATACGATAAGCCAGGAAGTTTGATAACGATTTATTTACTTATAATTAGTGAGGTAGTTTATGACCTCACGACGCGAGAGAATATTTCATTTCTCTTTATTGTAAGTCGTTACTGAATGAAATCTATATATTACGAAGAGCAAGATCGATAGCTGCTTTTCCGCTTTGCTATCCATAAGAATAAAACTACATCGACTGCTCGTGATAAATTGTATAGCTGAACGTTTTTCTTCCTTTTGTTATTTTTACATTTATTTTGTTTGTTTTTTGTGGTAGGTACAATATTTATTTATTTGTTATTTTTATACTCACTATACTCACTCATTTTGTCGTAATGTTTGCAGTATATATATATATATATTCTTGATCAGCATGAAACCCTGGATTGATTAAGCCAAGTCTGGCCAGCTGTCTGTCTACGTGGTATGCGTTGTTGACATTCTCCTGCTCCCAAAAATTAAATGAAATCATATTTGGTGGAAACACCGAAGTTTTTGTGAGCAGGTTGGTATTGCAAGTGTTCCAAACTGGTCAGAGCATATCACCTATATATTTTTTAGATAAATTTGCAAAGCATGGATTTAGAGGCTGCCGGACAACTTGGGTCGTATGCTGCTCCGCCTGCATTGAGAACTCCGCCGCACTTGAGATTTGAACTCACGAACATTGAGTTGTTAGTCGCGATCCTTTGCCTTCTCGGCTACTCATGCGATTCGTACAACACGTTATTATACTAATATAGACGTAAAATGTGAGAGATAACGAGGACGCTTTGCATACCAGTAGATGGTGTAATTAAATAATCTCATAATATAAGATTAGGGTAAAAACGAAAAACTGGGCTGGGAAAAGAGACAAAGTGAAGTAACAAAAAAACACGCTTTATAAAGTAAAGTAACGAATATGTTTTCTTTGTGAAGATGCTATCCGCTTTCCAAAATTACTTAACAGCTCTGTAGACAATGTACACGAGAAAGGAAGACATTTCTTCTATTTATTGCAGAACTGATTTGCGATCAATTTGTGAATAGCGACATTACACGTTCGGGTAATTTCGCGCTCACATCGACTGCTGTATGGCTTGTCACACCGACTACATATCTTTAATTTCTCGGCAAGAAAAATTGGTAATTACGTGGCTGTAGCGATCAGAATTAACGGTTTGTGTCACACTCTCGTTATTTTCAAAGAAGTACGAGCTTATCGGGGGCTTTGAATTTTTGGAGCGACACAATTTTGCTTGGTGAGATATCCACCAAGCGAAAAATGAGCCTCGTCAATGAAGAAAATGCGATGCGAAAAGCCGTCATACAAACGCTGTTGTTTGAGCACGATCAGCACGCATTGCACTGTCAGCCGGCTACAGTTCTTGTGTTACCTGAGTTTTCTAGAGATGGAAATCCAAATTCACATGGAATTTGTGGCTAAATTTAGACCTTCTTAGACACTTGTATTAGGAACACCAACATTTTCGGTCGGGCGTGCCCTTCAATGATTTGTGGACCTTAACAAATCTGTTATAGACTGAATCTCTTAAATTTCTTCACACTTTTTCTTATAGAGCGCTCAGATGGGCGTTTACGTCGATCGTAGCCTACTGGTAATGCACGAAACGTATCTTCAGTCTTTTTTTTATAGTAAGCTTTTAGTCCATACCCATCCAAATTATAAAATAACAAATATTACAACATGCATATGATGCCCTGTATAACAGTTCTATTTAACATGCGTTTTTGAAACAGAATTGCCGCATCAGAGCCACAAGATGTAGCCGGTTGTAAAAAATCTAGATCCTTAGTTGCGCCTTTTCTCACTTTGCACACTTGTTAAACTACTCAACAGACATCGTTTTGCGTTCTCATACTCAGAACATCAAGGATTGCCAGCTCTTCCATATTGACACAACCAGAGGTTTTTATACGCGTTAGGAGACAGCATTGAATCTTGGTGGCGCTCAAGTTTACTCTATTCCTCTGATCTATACCTGAATGATAATTAATTAGAGAAATTAAATTTGATATAAGCAATCATATAAGAGAGTCGCTTAATATTTTACTAAAGCAAATGCAGAGTCACAAAATATTAATAAAAATTTTAAAAAAATATTAATATTTTGTGACTCAAATGCAATGATAATCGCAACTCCATAGTTCAGAAAAGTTTTGAATTTCATGTTACTGAAAGACTGTATGATGTAGTGGGCTTGCTTATGAATAATCCGAGAAAGCCATATGAAACTTTCCGTTTTAACGCAAGTTTGTATAATTTTGTAACGGCTATGTGTTAGGTAAGGCAAGCTCTTGATATTTTTTTAAAATTACAAAATCCTCTTTGAACTCTTTCAGCAATTGAAATGGTCGATCCCGAGACTTTAACTACCCGATGTTGGCTAGATCCATATGAATAGCTAAGAGTAAATAAAAATCGCGAAGAAGCGACCGAATTTATGTTTGCGTAGCGTTACAAAGGCTACCAAAGCGGCACAAGTGTGTATGAATATTGAAGAGAATAATGCCCATAAGAATATGTGATACCACATTTCACGAAATGTGTTGAGAGGCTATATTTTTTCACCCTATGAGTTGCAGAACGACAAGGTGTGGCATATCGGTAGTCCGAAAAATTCCGAGACGGAGAAATGTCAACATGGTTGGCATTACGATCGTTCTCAGTATCCTAGTACTGGTATGCGTTAGACAATGAGGCCTCATTTTAAGATTTGATCAATGAATCTAAATACAAAGTTTCAATTGTATTTCTAAATGTTTATTGTCTTAAGATACCCGTCAGAACACGGAAGTATGAAGAGATATTAAAATCTAGAACATTCACTTACGGGATCTCTTTATAAATTCACAATCCTACACAATTAATGCAAGAGCTTTGCTATATTTCTTTTATACACACATAGATAGTCCGAGCTCAACCCCACTATCAATACTAAGCATATGTCAAAAACTTTCTCAGTTATCTTATCTCTGCGATCAATAAATGCGGTGGTTAACAGCATAAGTGCTCACAAGCAAATATATTCTTTCAATATCTGATGGAACAAACCTTCGGGCGGCCGTATGCCGAATGTTATGACTTTCGAAATTTTATTTGCTACTTGCTGAGCATCATTAAGAACAGGAAAGGTAAACGCCTTTATTTTACTTTGCCATCATCAAAGCAATTAACAAATTTCATGTTACGATTCATCAACACTTTTCAATGGGCAAGACCACGAAAGAATTTCAAGAAAGACTCGGTATACATTATGGAGAATCTGCTCGTCGGATAAAATGGATAAAAAGTCGATGGTTCAAATTAAACGTAATGGCGATGAAATGAAACAAAATATTGAACATCGCTTTCATGTGGCGTAACTGGGGTTACAACATTAATATTAAACGCTGCGACATTGCAGGTCCACGAGACAGCTGAGATGGCAAAGGTCTCATATAAGTGCGCCCTTAACAGTTTGCACGAAATATTGAATGCAAAGAAGCTTTGTCGAAAACGGATGCCTCGTTCGCCTTCGATCAAAAACTCAACTGTTTGGTCATTGCAATGAAATACATACAGACGTTTATTTATTTATTAGAGGAAATATGTACACGCGCAACGAAAAGTTCGTACATATGTGCAAATACGCTCGCATCCTTGCATTCACAAATCATAGGTAGTTGCATGTATTTCGATCAACGACGTCTATTGCTGAAAATGATAAGGTAATGCGAAATGTCAATGTACCCAAAATAAAAGTTTTTCACTTAGTATTATTGTGTTATTCAGTGCATGCGAACGCTACTCATGGAACGCTTAAAATTGCGTTTTCGATACTCATTATTTTTGTTGTTTGATTTGAAAAAATGTGCTACCGAAGCCCCTTAAACACTTTTGGAAGCTTATGGTGATTTTGCTCGTTTTTACGGTTTTCGATTCCAACGGTTCGAAAGGCGAATAGCAAAGAAAGGACTGGAAGACCAAAACAAATTCGATACCAACGATTTGCAAGACCTATTAGACGAAAACGCAAAGAGCATTCGAGCACCTTAGGAATTAATGTATCCAACTATTTCTTGGCGTACGAATGTGATGGGAAAGATGCGAAACAAGGGAAAATGGCCATTCAACATTGCGTTGGTATTGCTGGCATCAAGTGGAAAGAAAACTTATCGAGAAAACTTCTTCTTCTGTGAGTCAGGCAATCAACAACAGGTGACTTGCTAAGTTGAGTAAAACAGGAGGAAACTTCTTTTATGACATACGTACAAGAAGTAATCCCAGGCTTTTAAAGATTAACCCGACCTTAAGCACAATCTGATGGAAGGCATGCCTTGGGAAGAAAACAAAAACGTAAATTCTTCCATAACGGTCTTTGAAAGCGCGCATCTTTCTCTATTTAGTAGTTAAATTTTTTTATTACTTCAGTGTACAACTCGTCAGTATTTCAATACAGCTTGACATGCTTTTCTTCATCAGTCAACCTATAAAGTTATGTTTGAAAATCTTATCAACCTGCAAAAAATTATAAAGTAATAGTAAATTTTTAGGACTTCTTTAAGTTCATCAAACGTACTGGCAATCGCGACTTCGTAAGTAAAGCTTAAATGGGTAAGAATCAATGGCATTTTCGAAAATGCTACGAAACATGGGTTTCCCACTACCTAGCCAGGAGCTGCCCATAGAGCATTCATGTGGTTTGTTATATCCAAAACCATGAATTGTGCTCTATTTTCCCTTTAGTTAACCATAGCTCCCGTTTCATCATTCCTCTTTTTTGAATTTTTTTCCTATTTTTATTTTAAAAAAGATCGAATTTTCAATGAAAGAAACAACAAATCCGATCGTAATTGGTTGCCCGCTAGTGTCACTTCCTTACCGAAAAGTGCCGTGCAAGCTGGGTATGACGTAGATGGTGATCCTATTTATGTGGGGAGAGTTCTTCGCAAGGGTGAAATGCTACCCGTCAAAGTAATACCTAATAAGGGAAGAGCTTACGCTGCCTGGGACGGCGCGGAGCATGTAACAAAAGAGGCGGAATTACTGAGAGGTCGTTACTATGGTAAGTTCAATACTGTTACTGTTTATCTATATGATATACAAAATAAAATAAAAAAAAGCAAATTTATAATTTTAGTGTGGATGCCTTCTATTGGGGGAATTATTCCGGCGCATGCTGTACGTTTAGGCCGCACGGTTGAAGGTGAGCCATTGTACGTAGGTCGTTGTAGGTGGAATGGAAGTTTGATTCCTGGCAAAATTCAACCGAGTCATGGCTGTTTGTACTTTCCTTTTGATGGCGCCGAACTTCGAACAGAGCGATATGAAGTTTTAGTACAACCAGAGACTTGGGTTTCGTCTTCAGGACATAAAATTGTGGTTGGCTCGGTTTTAGCTGGTGAAGATGCAGATGGTGATGCTATCTACGTAGGTCGTGCATATCATGGGAATAGTTTGTTGCCTGCTAAAGTCATACCGAGCAAAGGCTGCGCTTTTGTATCATATGGTGGCCAAGAATATGTAAAATATGACTTTGAAATTTTGGCTGGTAACGGGTACAAGTGGTGGGTGACCGATTGCAAGAACTGTTTACCAGCTGGATCTGTAGTTTGCGGACGCACTGCCGAAGGCGATCCCTTGTATATTGGTCGTGGTTATTGGGGTGGCAGCTTAATTCCTGGAAGAGTGCATCGTTCCCATAGTTGCCTTTATATACCATTTGAAGGGGAAGAAATTCGCATACAAACTTTTCAGGTGTTGACTAGACCTAAAGTCTAGCTTTTTGAACAGCTATTACTATCATAAATTCCAAATATATTTTCGTGAACCAATAAAGAATTAAGAAATAGTTTTCTGAAAAAATTAACAAGCAAAAATAAAAAATAAAGCAATTTTTGGAAATTTTACGTATACCTTGGATAAATTCTTTTAAAGTTCATTTAACATTCCTATCTGCATATATTATAATTCTATGTGTATATATTTGCTCATATATATACCACTTTATTTTTCTCTTTACATTTCTTTTTCGCAATTTCAGATATAAAAAATTAAATAAATGTTTGTGTATAGCAAAATATGGAAAGCGTTTCATGCTAATGCATGCGCATCGTTATGTTTATATTAAATTTTGCATAAGTGAAAATTTTAATGCACATTTTTTTCATGTTCAGCGTTGTGTACATACACTAGTCATTTTTATTTTTCATTTTACCACCTATTCGCCTTTTTCTTCTTTTCTACTACCCACCACTTTTATATTACCTCTCGTTCGCATAGATAACAGTTTATTCTCTTCGAATTTTAATCTCTTATTTTAACAGAGTATAGTTATGTTAAAAGATCTCTTTTAAAGTTACTTCAGAAAAATTAATTCTCTTCTAATAACTCTCGTCGCTCATACTCTCAGTTTCTGTTATGATAAGACTACAATTATTATTCTCTTCGGTTATGTTAAGCACACGAATGGATGGCGTCTTTTCTTTAACATAATGTTAAATGATTTTATGTAGGCGGAGTTCTGTTTAGTGAAATATTTAGCAATTTGACGAATCAACACTCACAGAGCACACAGCCGAAGTGCGTTCGTTTTTTCATTGCTTGCAAAACATATTCACGTTTAACTTATCTGTAGCTGTACACAATATTGTCGTCTGTTATATCCCTTCCACTTCTTAGATATGCAATTTGACGTTGAACGACGTGTGTTTTTTGCTTTCTTTTTGTGTTTTATCTCATAAAACTTATGCATAAATAGAATACTGGGCTAATACAGATTTGTAATTATGATAAAAATCTATTCGAAATCTTACAGAGCACACGAAATAAATATTTCGCTATTTACGTAGATTATGAGTGGCAAAAGCCGTATTGATTTTTAACCGACGGCGTTTTGATTTCAATTTTACTTTACTACACGTATATGCTGATAATCCTTTTATCGTTTTAAAGTCTACCAGAATAACGATTGAAAAATTAATAAGTTTCTTACATCGGCTTATATTCTGATTTTTATTATTATTGCTATTATTATTATAATTAATTGAGCCAGAGAAATGAATTCGACGACTAAAGTTTTAAGGCATTAACATCCGAGGCTATCGGCTTTAATTTCCATTGTTTTTTCTTTTATTGCTTGCTTTCGTTAGTTCCGTTTTAACCAAAAAACATTTGACGCATATTTGAAATTCTTATCAAGATAGTCTTCGATAAATTGAGAAATTGTACTTTAAACAAAAAAAAAACGGTGTTCTTTGTCATATTCCTCATTGTGTTAAATCCATCAGGAATAAAGAAAGTCCAGCCTGATGTTTACTTAACTTTTAATCTATAAATAGCTTTCCCCATAATCTCAGTTTTGTGAAAGAAATTTTTCGAATAATGTCTCTTTATAAATGTGAACGCGAATGTAACGACTCCAACTTAAGCGCTTCGCTTGGAAGACATGCAATTACTTGCTCTATTAACGATTTACTTAAACTTATTTACATCTTTATGAGTTTTTTTCTGAACTTTTAAGTGCGACGCCTAATTCAAATTAGTTGAATATATATTTAAGGGTAAAAATTTGCTGCTTTTTTTGCCTAAAACCATTTGCATTTATTAGAAGTTTGAATAAATTTTTCAAACGGCCATCTATGCACGAACGCAACTAGAAAGCTATAACGCAGTAAACACACATACATACATTTATTTGAAAGATGCTTTATTTTTATTGTTTGTTTTTATGCTGAGATTATGAAATGTACTTTTTAGAGAAAAGCATTAAAAAAAAACTTATTTCTCAGGGCAGCGCAGCGCCGTGTCTGATATATTTGTGGAAAATTAAAGGCGTCATTTTTCTAAGGCAAGTTTAAGGAAATGCATGAAAGTAAAATGAGTGGAGTGAACATATTCTACAAGGCCTGTACGAAACTGATAAAAACTAACTGAAATACTATGGCTGCTATTAATAATCTGCCTGCTTTCCACTCTTTAATAAGATGGTATTAAATTACCAGCTTTTATACCACCAACTAAAAGCATTGCTGCCCCTTTATCTTACATCGTCTGTTTGTGGTGTCGTTTACGTTGTACCTAAAAGGGGAAAGAAGGCATTTGAGATTCTTTCTAATGATCAGAGTTTTCTTCTAGTTTTTACACTTTCTACGCTTAAATGTGTGTTCGCTGCAAATTTTCTTTATAGAAATTTTTTGAATTTCTTTTTGAAAATTGATAATAAGGGATCTATAGCAAACGCGGAAAAACGGAAAGATTTTGCGATACATTTATGTGTGTGTGATTATTTATTAACAAATATGATTTTAAACAAACTTATGAGGGATATTAGAAAACGTATCTGGTGAACCAATCTTTTACAGATGATGTCACATTCTATTAAAACATATTCTATTTAATTTCCTAAGTGGGCTTCACAGCGACCCATGTGTAGCATTAGAAATAAAATAGGATATCATATTGAAAAATGGGATTTTTTCAGATGAAACTGTTTTGCAAATGCCGGTGCGAAGCAATCCATGTTTATCATTCCAAACGATATAAGGGTTTTTCGCGTTCAAGACAGTGTTTTTCTTTTTCTAAACACCGCAATGTTGTGAAGCAGACGAAGGGTATGCTTTTAGTTACAATGACTTATAAAGGGATAAGCGGATGGCGGTGACGGAGGGAGGGGGCAGTTATCTTTGGTACACGTAATGTTACCTGAAGAGTAATGAACAAAGCGATAGACCTTATGCTATCTTCTAGATTCTCGGTCAGATATTTCAATGTAAAGCAAGAATTCTGTTACCCAAGGTAGGACCGATTTAAAAAAATAGCAGTTTCAAGATTCAAGACCAAATTTTTGTGATTTAGACTTTGGCTTCGTTAAAATAAAATTTTATAGATATATATATATATAGGTATGTAGGTATGTTTTAATTCCATTTAGATGATTTACTGATAACTGTTTCATTCCATTAAAGCAGTGCGTATATCGTTTTTGCAAACATTGTTACATTTACTTCAGTTTAGTAAATCTTGCTAGTTTATAATCGGAACTCTTTTCAAATGTTTTGAATACAAATTTGTGTTAATCATTTCTAAAAATGATTATTGCACCCATCAAATAAACAGATAGATAATAGAATTTTCTCCCTACCTTTGTAGCATCCGGATATATACATGAAAGACTTCATAAAAACTTGTACAGTTGTGCTCGAAACAAAAGCAAGATACAAAAACAAACATTTCGGTCGTCCAATATGTTGCTCAGTAAGGCAGACATCTCATACAAATGTTCGTAACAACATTTTAAATGAGCAAAAAAAAAAAAAGAAGAAAAGTTAAGAGCAAAGAAAGAAAGAATTTTTTTTGTTCAATTTCTAAGTTCGTAGTAAAAAAGATGAAAGTTTTACAAAAGTTTTAAAAATGCGTTCATATGTTAGAAAGTGTATCATAAACTCTGCAAATATACTTAGACATCTTTTTATTGTGAAGAAAAAGTTATTCGTTTTTTATTCCACTCATGAAAAGCTCCGCATTGAAGATTTGCTTGATAATAAATTTAAGGATTTTTATTTAGTAATAAACTTAAAGGGGAAAATATGACAGAGAGTAGAAAAGATTATTGGATGATTAGCTCCTATGGTAATAAAAAAATGTTATATAATACAATAGAAGAAGAAAAAGACGAAGACGAAGACGAAGAAGAAGAAAAGTGAAAAAGGTATATGTGAAGGCCACATCGGTAGTATTCTATAAATCACTGTTTAGCTCTACTCAAGTTCACCTGCATGAAGTTAAAGTTCCTAAACGCGTTATATATTTTCTATATCTTCAATGTGGTCCTCTAAACGTTAACATGTTCTTTTTTGAACAAATGCATGCTTGAGAGAGAAAATTTCCGACGGGAGGAAATCACAGAAAACAATTTTTATTTCGCACCTCCCAAAACTTTGTGAAAAATAGTTCATTACCTGTGGAATATTTTTTTTCGAAATATGGAGCTCTTACCCAGCGTTTTGGAAAAATTTCTTGTCGTAAATGAATGTGAGCTGTAAAGTTGCAACCGAATATCTTGCCTCTTGGTTTCTAACTCCTCTAATACGCGAGCAAATCTCCTTACAAAACGTTCATATTCCTTTAAAGGCATTTCCAAAGAAAAATACGTCAGCGCAGCTTCACGAGACGACCGTTAGGTGGAGAAGAGGCTGAGAGCGACACGAAAATAGTCAACGCTTCTGTCAAGAGACTGAAAGTGAGTGTGCGGGCGAACTTAATTATAAATGTGGATATGGAATGATAGGTCTTTCTCCGTCTTTTCGCAAAACGTAAAACATGCGATTCTATCTTTGAAGGAACCATAAAGAACGGTAGCGGAACGAGGAAAAATATTTAGACTTAGTTGGACAGTTTTGTGATGTACACAAATGGTAAGAATGCAAAAGAAAAAAAATTCAACATAATAAAGGAAGAACGAAGGAAGGAACATATTTCAAAGCTTGAAGCGGGCTTATCTCGAAACATGCTTTTTTTAAATTAAGAATACCATAAGTCTTGCAATTGTCATTCTTCCCGTACGCCGGTTTCACAATATTTTTAAGATCACATTCTTTTGAGGGGATTGCCGATATGTTAACTTAAATCCGACTTATGAACAAATTATTGTTTTTCTTGGTCGACAACTAAACTTTTTTATTTATTATTGTAAATACAAAAATAGATATATTAAGAATCTTTACATATTTCCTGCCAACAAACATGTAGATTACAGGGTCTTAGTATATTTGCTTTTTTCTCATCTTTTTTCATAACAAACAAAGTGTTAGTTAGTTTGGGAGAAGAGCCGCTT